GTTCCCAGACTCCTCCCGAGCGCGAGCCACGCCCAGGCCGCGGGGGCCTGCAGTGCTCCCACGTGCAGCGCGTCTCCCGGGGTACGGAGTGGGTGGGCCTCACAGCCCTGCGGCTGGTCTATGGGGAGGGGGCGCAGGGGAAGCAGCTTATTTGCCACGGGCGACCAAACTGGAGCCGCAGAGCCCAAGACTTCCCCAAGGCCGCGCAGCCCAGAGCAGCGCCAGCCGTTGGGAACAGGTGCCCCTGGTCCGGGACGGGGCCTTCTGGGCCGGCGTGGTGACTCGAAAGCTGAAGCTGCCACTCGTGGCTCCGGCGTCCCATACAGGCGCCTGTCCGAGCCCCGGCTGCTCCACTTCCGATCCAGTTCCCTGCTAGTGCACCTGGGAAAGCGGGCGGCAGAGGACGCCCGAGTGCTTGGCCCCTGCACCCACGTGGGAGACCCGGAGGAAGCTCCAGGCTCCTGGCTTTGGCCTGGCCCAGTCGTGGCCCTGGCCATTGCAGCCATTTGAGGAGTGAACCAGCGGATGGAGGACCTCTCCCTCTCTCTCTCCCTCTCTCTCCCTCTCCCTCTCTCCCTCCCTCTCTTTCCCTCTCTCCCTCTCCCTCTCTCTCTCCCTCCCTCTCTCCCTCCCTCTCTTTCTCCCTCTCCCTCTCTCCCTCCCTCTCTTTCTCCCTCTCCCTCTCTCCCTCCCTCTCTTTCTCCCTCTCTCTTTCTCCCTCTCTCCCTGTCCCTCTCTCCCTCTCCCTCTCTCTCCTCTCCCTCCCTCTCTAACTCTGCCCTTCAATAAACAAACAAACAGCCCTGTCTCCCTCTGGGTACAGCTCCCCCAGTCTCCATCCTGCCCTGGGGGCTCTCACTCATCCTTCCAGAAGGTTCACACCCCCAGGAGACCCCCCTCCGTCAGCACAAGGCGCCCCCTGCCCCAGACTCCAGCGCTGAGTGTGTCCTCCCCAGGCTCTGGGGCTCCGCCGTCTGCCCCCCAGCCCTCCCTCCGCCTCCGCCTCCGCCCGCCCTCCGCCCCCGCCTCCTCTACGTGATGGCGATAAGGAAGATCTCCAGGTTTCGTGGACAGGAAGGGGGAAGCCACGTGAGGCGCTCAGAATGGTGCCCAGCACGTGGGGTGTGCTCTGTGGCGACGGCGGTGACCCATCCCGAGGTCACCCTGGGTCTCCTGTCTCTGCACTGCCTGGCGCAGCACGACCACCGGGGACACCCACACACACCAGCACCCTCCCTGCCGGCTGTGCCTGGAGCTCTGTCACGTGCGGCCCCGTGGGCCCGTCCTCATCCGCTCCACAGCTCCAAATCCACCCGGCCGCTAGGTCCGGAGCCCAGGCGCTCCCTGCGCCCCTGCCACCATCGCACCCGTCTGACCCCAGAATGCAGCTCGAAGACACCCGCGTCGGTCACCATCCCCGCTACCACACCGAGGCTGCCGCTGCTTCTCCCTGGCCTCGCCCCTACCGTCCACTGGCCGCCTCGTCCTCGGCCGTCGCCCCCCGCTGTCGCTCCCTGCCAGCCCCGCGGACCCCAAGCAGGCTGAGCAGGCTCCCGCCTCCGCGGGCACTCGTCAGCCGGCCACGCAGCTCTTCGCTGAGACGGCACGCGTCTCCCCCAGCTCCCGCTCCCCACGCCTGCCCCACGGACATCTGTGTCTCCAGGGCCCACAGTCCAGAAAGCCCCGGAGGCCGCCGCGATCGGTGGAAACCCGAGCTCCGCACGCTCGCGTCCCACCTCCCGCACTCTCTCCCGGCTCACGACGCGTCTCGCTCGCCCACTCCACGGACACGCACACAGCTTCCACGTTCTGTCACGCTGTGCAGACGTGCGAGCAAGCTGTGGCGGACACGACGCCATCTACCAGACATGTCTGCGCCCAGCCCCCAGAGCCTGCCCCATGTCAACTCCCCTGGCAACGGGGACCCTGCAGGCGTGATGGGGGGTGTACCCAAATCGGGTGCACATTCCGGAAGCCAGACGACTTCTCACAGCTGCAGCGAGGCAGCCAGATGGAAGACAGAGGGAGGGTCAGGGAGAGGCCACGTTGCTGGCTTTGAAGACGGAGGACGGGGCCGCGAGCCAAGGAATGCAGGCTGCAAAGGGCCGGGAGATGGGCTCTCCCCGCCAGCTTCCCGGAGAACGGCGCTCCCCAGCCCTGACAGTCGTGCAGCGACAGCAGCCCACGCACAGGACACAGCAAAGACGGACCACGCCAGGCCGTGGTCTCTGGAGAATTCCCTCCTCCCTCCTGCGGGCAGAGTAATCCCATCTCCTCCCTGGAGTCTCCCTTGACTTCTCCCCACGGCGATTCATCGCTCCAGCCCTGGGGTCCTTCAGCCGAGGGTCCTGGGCCCCCCTACTCTTCCCGCCAAACGCAGGCGAGCCACGGGGCCTGCACCACGGGCAGCCGGAGCCAAGCGGCTCCCCCGCACCGACGACCCTGGCGCTCGCCCCCAGGCTCACGGCGGCGAGGACTCATGCCCGCCCTCCCCGGCTGCCTATCTGCGTGGCGGCTCCGGGCGGAACTGCGCATCTGCTTGGGCTCACGCCTCCGTTTCCGCGTCCTGGGAGGGTCCCCGGGCGGACCCTCTGCGGGTGCGGGTGCCCGGCGCTTAGCCGTGCCGGCCACAAGGGGGCGCTACGTGACAGGGAGCCGGCGCGGCCTGGGAGCCCCTCTCCTCAGAGATCTGGGCTCCGCCTCCCGAGGAGCCCCAACTCACAGCTTGCCCCCCATCCCTACCCCCACCCCCAGGGCCCCGCAACTTCGACCCCCGTCAGCTCCTAGGACCGTGGGCGCCGGGCCGCACCGGCCGGCCAATAAGGAGACAGAGAGCCTGTGACGTCACGAGGCGCTAGGCAGAGGACCGGCTGCCTCTTCTGCGCAGGCGCACACGGCACCCCCAGAAAAGGGCGGGAAAGGACGAGGGCCGGCGGGCCTCTCAAAGGGGGACGGGCAGAGGGGCACAGGGCGGCCGAGGCAGCAGGCAGGGAGAGGGTGAAATGGAGACAGGCAGAGAGGAAGCAGGAATGGTGCCGCCGGAGGCAGGGCGCGAGGGAAACCCGAGCCGGCTCGCCCGGGAGCGGCCAACGTTCTAGAAAATTCCCCAGGGAGGGGCTGCTGGGCGACCCCTGCCCGTCGCCGCCCTCACCTGTGTCCGGACGGCGCCTCGAGGTCGCGGGGGGCGCTGCGGTGCGCCGCGGGGTGGCCCAGGAGGACGTGCGGCCCGGCGCGCCTGCCGTGGGGGTGCCCTGGGCCAGCTCGGTTCCCGACGGGGGGTCCCAAGTCCAGGGCGGATACTCCTCGTCCTCCGTGTAGCCTGCGGGGAGACGGGGCGGCGGTCGGCCCTGCTGTTCGCGGGGTGGGGGCGCCGCCCGCCCTCCCGGCCGCCCGGCCGCGGCCCCGGTACCCGTGCACGTGAGCCCCACGTCTTCCTCGTGGTCACAGTTGTGCTTGCCCCACGGCCCCGCGGGGCAGTCGCTCAGCGAGGTCTCGCGCCCCAGGCAGCCCACGTCGTCCAGCCAGATGGGCCCCGTCCCGGGGCCGTAGTGCGTTTTGCCCACGCGGGGCCGGACCTTTCCACAGCCCAGCTCCCAGCAGGCCACAGTGGCGTCGCGCAGGTCCCAGTTGTCGTCACACACCGTCCCCCAGCGCCCCGCGTGCCACACCTCCAGCCGCCCGGCGCACCTGTTGGGCCCGTCGGCCAGACGAACCCGGAAGGGCCCTGTGGGCGGAGCCCGGTCACGTGGGAGGCGTGGCCTCCGCCCTCCCGCGCCTGCCCCGCCCTGCCCGCCGCTCACCTGGCGCCCCGGTGGTGCTGGCCGCCGTCGTGGCCGGGGCTGCGGCTTCGGCTGAGCCTGGAGACCCTTGAGCTGGGGTCTGGGCGGACGGCCGCAGGGAGGCCTGAGCAGTGGCAGTCGTGGTGCGGGTGGGCCCTCGGCGGGGCGCCTCGGTGGTCCGGGAGGTCAGCTCCAGCGGGCTCTGGGTGCCCAGCGCCCTGGAGTGCTTCGTGGTGGGCACCGGGGGAGGGGGCGTGGTTGGCCTCTTTGTGGCTTTGGTCCCCCACTTCTTAGTGCTCTTGGGCATTTTTGCCGGGGCCTTCGTGGTGGTCTTCTCCAGGACGCTGGGGGTCCGAGGCGGAGAGGGCTGGGTGACCGGCTCTCCCGGGAGCCAGGCATCCTGGTCTCTGCCCAGCCCCGGGACCCAGCTCCAGCTGAAGGGGTCTGAGACAGTGTCCAGGCCAGCCGTCCCTGCGAGGCGGGTGGGAAGGGAAGGAGAGACGCGACTGTGTGGTCACCTGCCCAGGCCCCCCTCTCCGGCCAAGTTCCGGTGCAGTCGCCACGCATGCAGGTCATGGGCAGCTACTGGACGCCCGCCGGAAGCCACACACTGTGGCAGGCCGGAGCCCACAGCACCCCGCTCACTTGGTGTTTACAGCCTGGATGCCACAGCCTCTTCACCCCTCACCTGTCCCCCGGCTCCATCTCTCTGGCCTCTGTAGAATCTTGCTAGTGCCCTGCCAGTCCTCACCAGGTGTGGACAGGCCACCCCTGGCTCCAGACATCTGTGTGGCTCCCACGACCCTCAGGAAGACGGAGGAGGGGAGGGGCCTAAGAGGACTCCACCCACTTAGGTCTCCCGGATGTGCACAGGGAAGGATTAGCCGCGCCCACAGAAAGGATCGGCCCTTGTCCTGCTCCCTTGGAGTGTCTTCCCCGATGTGCCCGGGGGCTTGTCCTAACAGTGTGACGATGGACAGCCCCATCCACGTGACCGACCGCGGTGGACACCAGGGCTCAGCAGGGCTCCCCCCCCCCGGCTGGCCAGACGCCGCGTGGGCTGTCGCCTGTCCATGCTGTGAGAGTTAAGTCCCCTCTGCCGAGAGAGGGCAGCTGGCCTTCCCCCTGGGCTGGCTGGAATCGGTGTGCTGTCCCCGTAATGCCCGTACCCCACTGTGAGTGCCTAGGGGATTACTGAACCCCAGGAAGCTCCTGGGGGCCTCCCCGGCTGCAGCACCTCCCAGGGGTCGGCAGCCACGGTCAGGGTCAGGCCAGCGCTTTCCTCCACGAGCCGGAAGCGCCTCGGAGGCTGTTCTGGGAGCCCAGCACCGAGCTCAGCGCCGGGCAGCTACGACCCGGCCACGGCAAAGCCGGTGAACGTGTGAACAAACAAGCGCACTGCGGCTCTGTCCTGGCCCGGTGCCCCGTCGCTCCCTCTCCGCCCAGGGAGGACAAGGCGCCCCCTCTGCGGGACTTCTCTGATTCCTGGAAAGCAGGGGGTCGGCGGGAGGAAGCAGCCTCTCGGGCAGGAATCCTAGCTCCACGCTTAGCCTGAGCGCCGGGGGAAGGGCTTCACCGCTCTGCGCCTCAGCTACGTCAGCACCCCCAGCCTAGACTTAGCCTGTGGACTGAGTGTGGTCCCGTGGGTGCGAACACCCAGCACAGGAGGCTCTGGGTCAGTGTCGGTGCCAGCGACGGCCCTCCCTCCCTCCCTCCCCCTGCACGTGCCACAGGTGCGTCCTCACCACATGTGCCACAAGTGCGTCCTTACCACAAAGTGTTGCTGCCAGTGACAGCCCTCACTGCCTCCCCCTGCACGTGCTGCAGGGCGTCCTCACCACACAGTGTCAGTGTCAGTGCCAGCGACGGCCCTCACTCCCTCCCCCTGCACGTGCCACAGGTGCGTCCTCACCACACGTGCCACAGGTGCGTCTTCACCACACAATGTTGGTGCCAGTGACGGCCCTCCCTGCCTCCCCCTGCACATGCTGCAGGGCGTCCTCCCCATACACTGTCAGTGCCAGCGACGGCCCTCACTCCCACCCCCTGCACGTGCTGCAGGGCGTCCTCACCACACACTGTCAGTGCCAGCGACGGCCCTCCCTGCCTCCCCCTGCACATGCTGCAGGGCGTCCTCACCATACACTGTCAGTGCCAGCGACGGCCCTCATTCCCACCCCCTGCATGTGCTGCAGGGCGTCCTCACCACACGTGCCACAGGTGCGTCTTCACCACACAATGTTGGTGCCAGTGACGGCCCTCCCTGCCTCCCCCTGCACGTGCTGCAGGGCGTCCTCACCGGAACAGGTGACCCCGACGTCCTCGTTGTGAGCACAGTTGTGTTTCCCCCAGGGAGCAGCAGGACAGTCGGCCAGCGACGCCTCCGTCCCCATGCAGTTCACGTCATCCAGCCAGATGGGGCCCGAGCCCCAGCCAAAGCGGCCAGCAGCGGGATCCGGCTGCCGAGGCCCGCCGCAGCCGAGCTCCCGGCAGACCACAGCCGAGTCGCGCAGGTCCCAGCTGTCATCACACACCGTGCCCCAGCGCCCGTCATGCCACACCTCCAGCCGGCCGGAGCACCTGCTGGGCCCGGCCACCAGGCGCAGCTGGGGAGATCCTGGGGTAGAAAAGACAAAGAATCAGATGCGGGGAGGCTCTTCACCCTCCCGCCCCCTCCCGCCCCTGTCCATCCAGGCTGCAGACATTTCCTACGCCCGCCCTCTGCATGGGGCAGGGGCGGAGTCAGCACGGAGCCAGGTCAGAGGTTCCTCGGGAAGCCAAACGTAAAGTTATACACGACGTGGAAGGCCCACTGCTAGGAATACACCCAGAGCACACGGGAACAGGTGCTTGGACGTGAACGCCCGCGTCAGTGTCACGCCCGGGAGCCAAGGGGAGCAAACAGCCTAAATTCCCATCGCCGGATGCGTGGCTGAACAAACGGGGTGACCGGTCCCGGCAATGACTGTGTGGCTATGATCCCCAAAGCGCGGGCGATGGAAACCAAAAGAAACAAGCGAGGATACACCGAACTAAACACCTGCACACGCATAGGCAAAATCAAGAGAGAATGACCGACAGAGTGGGAGAGCATGTGCATACGTCTCAAATAACTGATAAGAGGCACAACAGAATATGTGAGGAACTCCCACAGCTCAGTAGTAAACGACAGGAAGTCATGAACCATCAGGGAGTGCAGGGGCCGGCGCTGTGCCGGCATCCCATATGGGCGCCGGTTCTAGTCCTGGCTGCTCCTCTTCCGTTCCAGCTCTCTGCTGTGGCCTGGGAAAGCAGCGGAGGATGGCCCAAGTGCTTGGGCCCTGCACCCGCATGGGAGACCAGGAGGAAGCACCTGGCTGCTGGCTCCAGATTGGCACAGCTCCGGCCGTTGCGGCCAAGTGGGGAGTGAACCAGCAGATGGAAGACCTCTCTCTCTGTCTCGCTCTCGCTCTGCCATTCACATATATAAAGCTAAATAAACATTTAAAAGGAGGTAGGAAATCTTGTCAGTTCTGACAACGTGGATTAAGCTTGAGGACATTATGCTAAGTGAAATAAACCAGACCCGGGCAGACAAGCGCTGCGTGACTCCACCTACACGAAGAATCTAAAACAGCCGGATACACGCAGCCGGAGTGGGGGATGGCGTCCGGGGCTCGGGGGAGGGAGGACCGGGAGGGTGGCATTTACCGGGTGCAGTTTCTGGAGACGGGTGGTGGTGCCGTCTGCACAACGATGTGAATGGATTTAATGTGGCCAAAGTGGTTAAAATGGTAAGTTCTGTGTCATGACCCACGCTGGGGCGTCCCCACATGGCCCTGCGTGGCGTGCCCGCCTCCTCCTGAAACTGCGAGTCGCAAACCCCCTTCAATAAACACATTTAAAAACAACAGCCATAGCTGGCCTAGTCCTGTCAAAGCCCAGGAAGGAAGCAGGCCGGACCACCTATGCCAGTGGCTAAGACACTGGAGGCTCACGGAAGGCAGGCTCTCAGCCTCCCGGCTGGGAACAGCCACAGATTTGGCAAGCTGCAATCCGTCACACAGAGGCAGGGACCCTGGATTTTGAGGCTCCTTCTGAGGGGCGGGGGTGCCCCTTGGGACAGCCTCAGAGCCACAGGTGGACACGGAAGCGGACGTGGACCCGGCTGTCTGGGGGAGCGGCGAGCGACTCACCGGCCTCCGGGCCCGGCTCCCGAGGGCCGACTGGAGCGGATGGAGGAGGTGACACGCCGGCCGTCAGCGGGGCCTGGCTTGCTGTGGTGGCCAGGGGCCTGGGGGCTGCCTCCCTGGCTGCTGAGCTGTTGCTGTCCACTGCGGGGGCCGTGGGGGGCACGTAGCCGAGGGGCATACCTGGGGCAGGGGGAGAGGGGATCAGCTCCTACCCCGACTCCCAGTGCTGCTTTGCCCCCATGGCTCCCCAGAGCCCCCAACACACACACACACACACACACACACACACACGGCCCTTCCTCCCGAGATTTTGGTCTGGAACCGGGGAAGAGGGCGTGACTGGGGAGCAGGGGTGAGGGGAGAGGGCAGAGGGTGGGGATGACCGCGGTGACTTGCAGAGAGACCGGCTTGGGCAGCGAAGGCTGCAACAGGCCAGCACTGTTTTCCCACCTGGGGCCGGAGCACTCCGTCCTGGGGGCTTCCCGGGCCCCGAAGTCTGCTGGGCAGCAGCCCCGGGCCCTGCCCACGAGACACCAGTAGCTCCTCCCTGGTGACCCTCCCAGATGTCACCAGACGGTGCCAGTGCCGGTGTGGCTGAGACCCGCCGACGTGGGGCCATCGTGTGGGGGCTCAGGGTGGAAGCTTGGAGAGGGCACGGGCGCAGAAGGACAAGACCCCCCCACCCCACTGCCACGCCCCCTCACCGTCACACACAGCCCCCGCGTCCTCACGATGGTGACAGTCATGCTGGCCCCAGGGCCGCGCCGGGCAGAATCGCAACGCCGTCTCGTTTCCCCGACACCTAAGGTCGTCCAGGATGATGGGGCCAGCGCCCTCCCCGAAGAAGGCGCCCCCAGGGGCGGCCAGCGCCCCCCCGCAGCCCAGCTCCCGGCAGGCCACGGCGGCGTCACGCAGGTCCCAGGCGTCGTCACACACCGTGCCCCAGCGCCCACCGTGCAACACCTCCAGGCGGCCGGCGCAGCCGTGGGGGCCGTCGGCCAGGCGCAGCCTGGGGGCCGGGCCTGGATGGGGGCACAGAGAGACAGGTGAGCTGCGTGCAGGAATCCACAGCCGGGGGCTGGGACCCGGGCAGGGGCACAGCCCCCTGCCCCCATCCCAGAGGCCACAGGGAAACAGGTCCTCCGCCTGCAGGCTGCAGAGGAGCGGGAGCTGGGAGGTGGGAAGTCACTGGCTGGCCCCGCGTGCCTGTGGGGGACGGCCCTGCGCAGAAGTCCCCAAGCTGTGACAACCACAGGTGGGAGGGGGAGACCCCCTCTGAGCGCCCCTGTGGGCAAACTCTAACCCCAGGGCGCATTCTTGCTCTTCTGGGAAAACCTCCCCTCTCCTCTGAACCTCGGCTTACCCCGAGCGAGCTCCCCTCGGAAGTCCTCGCTTCCGCCCGGCCGGCCTTCCACACTGCCCACCCACCCACCTGGCCCCCGCAGCAAGCGTCTGCAGCCTGCTCCCCCTCCGACCACTGGGTGCACAGCCCATCCCCCCCACCCCCGTGTGCCACTCTGCTCGGCTCTGGGTGTGGGGCTCACAGCGCCCCCTGTAGGAGCCTCGGTTTCCCCATCTGGGAAGGGAGAGGGGCCCGAGTCCATGGGGCCCCCAGGAGGCTCGGGAGGACGGGGACACGGTGCCTGCCCGCCGTCCGCTTGGCACAAGGCAAGCTGGGGCCATGTAGACCTGCAGCAACTGGGGCAGTCGGCCAGCCTCGCGGCTCCTGCAGCCTAAGGAGCCCAGGAGCAGGAGGCCTGCCTGGGCTTCCGGTGCAGGACGTATGTGGAAGGAAGGAGGAATGGGAAGGGAAGGGGGGAGGGCAGGCAGGTGCACCCCGGGGCTCTCCTGGGAGGCCCCATCCCAGGTCCCAGAGGAACAGGGAGGGCAGGAGCCCCCGGCAGGAAGCAGAGCCCTGCTCCGGCATCACGGCCCCCAGGTCACTCCTCCCCCTCCGCCTCAGCTCCCTGCCTCCTCGCCCTGGGGGAACCCCTGAGGAGGGCACTCCTAGCCTTACGGCTCCATCCGGAAACGCTGGCAGAGCCCTGGCCCTGCAGCGGAGCCCCGGCTCCGGCCCCAGCACCTTTCCCCGGGGGCCCTGACTGCAGGTGGGGGAGGGGCAGCCTCACCTACCCGTGCACACCAGCCCAGCGTCCTCACTGTGGTCGCAGTTGCTCCGGCCCCAGGGGCTCCGGGGACAGTCCCGTAGGGTCTGCTCTCCTCCTCCACACCCCACGTCGTCCATCCACACGGGCCCCGCGCCCGGCCCGAACCTGGCGCCCCCGGGGGCGGCCAGCGCGGCCCCGCAGCCCAGCTCCCGGCAGGCCACGGCGGCGTCGCGCAGGTCCCACCCGTCGTCACACACGGTGCCCCAGCGCCCGCCGTGCAACACCTCCAGGCGGCCGGCGCAGCCGTGGGGGCCTGAGACCAGGCGCAGCCGCTCTGGAGGGGGGCACGGGTGGGAGGGAGGGGCCGTGAGGGGTCTGACCACAGCTCAGGAGAAGCAGTCAGCCCTCTCCTGGGAAACCGAGGCCCGGAGCAGGCACTGGTCTGAGGTCCGCCTTCCCCCCGGCCCCTTCGGGGGAAATAGCCACCATCTTTGAGGCAGGATCCCTGACCGACAGGCGTCAGGGACGGCAAGAAGAGAGGAGACCAGGCTGGCCCCTGGGTCCCAGGGAGGGGCGGCTCCGAGGCGGGGCCCCGCGCGGTGGGCCTGGGCTCTCACAGTGTGCAGGTCATGTCTGCAGGGCACCCACCTTGTCGGGGGGCCCCAGCCGTCAGCGAAGGGGCCCTGGTGGACTTGACCTGCTTGGGTGGCCGGGGGCTCTTCTTCCGGGGGCTTCCGGCCAGGCGGGGGGCTGGGAGGGGAGACAGCAGGAGGTCAGGGGCAGGGCTGCCGCCCGTCCCCCCACACAGGACCAGGAGCCCCCTCTCAAGGGCCACAGTGCCAGAGGACGCCCTGGGCCAGGAGAGCCAGCCTGGGGACCTGTGCGTCCCCTCCCCCACAGCTGAAGCAGGAGGTGGAGCCGGGGTGGGGGTCCTCCGGGCGCACCATGAGTCACAGGGGGTTCCTCGGAGCTGGGGCTCAGCTCCCCAGGCAGCCCCAGCCAGGGGTCCCCGTCCGGGAGGGGAGCTGATTCGTCCCTTGAATCGGCCACGCGCTGACCTGCAGGAGAGAGGTTGAGAGGAGGGTGGCCGGGGCGGAGGGCTCATGGGGGTCCCCAGGGAGATGGGCAGGGGCTGAAATACGGGGTGAGGGGTCTGGGGCTCAGGAGCGGTTTAAGTTGGGGGTCCCAGAGGGAGGGCGAGACCTGGCTCTGGAGGTGACCCGGGGCTGGGAGCCTCCGGCGGTCGCACGCTCACCTGCACAGACGAGGCCCGCGTCCTCCTCGTGGCTGCAGATGTGGGCCTTCCAGCCGCGGTGGGGGCAGAGGCCCAGGTGTCCCTCGCCGCCGCGGCAGGCCAGCTCGCTGAGCCACACGGGGCCTGCGCCCTCCCCGAAGAAGGCGCCCCCAGGGGCGGCCAGCGCCCCCCCGCAGCCCAGCTCCCGGCAGGCCACGGCGGCGTCGCGCAGGTCCCACCCGTCGTCACACACCGTGCCCCAGCGCCCGCTGTGCCGGACCTCCAGGCGGCCGGCGCAGCCGTGGGGGCCGTCGGCCAGGCGCAGCCGCTCTGGTTGGGGGGCAGAGGAGAGGCTGTGACCATCCCTGAGGTCTGGGGTCAGAGTGATGGTAGGGGGTGCAGGCTGTCCTGTGGGGTGCGGTCGGGGGGCCGGGGCCAGACTTTGGGGTGCCCAGTGGTGCTGGTCATGGTGGAACGGGGGTACCCCCAGCAGGAGCGGGAGGCCAGGCCTGGACCCGGGGAGGCGTGGAGCTGCGGGGGGAGTGTCTGGGACTTACCAATGGCCCGAACCCCAAGCAGCACCACTGCAAGAGGTTGGGGACAGCGTGAGAGGCAGGCCCCGGGGGTCCCGCCTCATCCCGAATACCCCGAAACACACACACACGCACACTCACTCTCGGAGCAGCCACGCCTCTGACCCAGAAACCCACGCTGGGAGCTGGGAGCCAGAGCCCGGGCAGAGGGCCACCAAGCCTGAGACGGGTGGGGCTCGGACGCCTGGCCTGGGGCCAGGGCTGGGCACCTGGGGCTCTGCTTGGCCAAAGGTCAGATGGCCCGTGACCTCCACAGGACCAGGGCTTGGGCCAGGCCCCTTCTGTTCTCAGGAGGCTGAGTCCCCGAGGGGCCGGGCAGGGCAGCCAGTGGCCAGGCTATCTGGCGGCACCAAGGACCGGGTTCCCGGAAGCCCCAGTCCCTAAACTGGACGTGCTAAGGGGTCAGAGGTGGGGGCCCAGATCCCCTGAGTCCCCAGGGGAAGGGTCACTCACCGAGGAGGCAGGCCAGGACCCTCATGTTTGCAGAGTCCGGGGGAGGGGACGGGGCGACAGGGGAAGGAGGGCAGGAGAGGGGAGCAGGCGGCAGCCAAGCGAGGGCGGAGGCGAGGGAGGGAGCGCCGGCCGGAGGCGCCCGGACCCGCGGAGGAGCAGGCAGGGGCCCAAGGCTCCACCAGGAGGAAGAGAGGCTGCAGGGAGGCGGCAGGGGACCGGAGGGCGGGAGGGGGCTGGCGAGCGGCTCCGGCATGGGGAGGAGGGGGGTGGCGGGCGGGGGGAGGGTGAACGGCTAACACCCACACGCAGACGGCCAGGCAGGCCCAAGCCGAGGGACGGCAGGCTGCCGGGCAGGGGCAAGGCGGGTGCACGCGTGGGGCGCGGGCGGGGCACCCACTCTCCTGCCTCCTCCCTTGACCTTCTGGGGAGTGGGCTCTGACCCCTGCTGGGGTCAGGGGCCAGGCAGATCTGGGACTCCGGGAGCGGTAGCAAGAGGGCCTGTAGCCAGACACCAGGAGGGACTTCCTGGATTAGAGGGAGCAGAATGGAAAACTGCTCCGTCCATTCCCTCCCTCATTCCTCATCGGCGGGATTGAACGTGAACCCCCTCAGACGGCCATCTGAGGCCGGAGGCGTTGAACCGGAGTGGGGAGGGGGCGGGAAGGGGGCTCCGCAGACTCCTCGCACTCACACTCACACACACACACACACACGTCCCCTGCACCAGGCAGCTGTGAGCTGGAAAAAATGCAGTCATGGGGAGCGTGACTCAGAGACTGGCAGGGACCGGGGCTGCTGTGAGCTCACCGCTCCCCGCTCCCCCCAGACACCCACAATTAATGTCAACTCGGGGGAAGGAGGAGCCAGACAGAAGCTGGGGGGGCGGAGGCGGGGGTCCAGAGACAGACTGGAAAAGGCATCAGAGAGAGGAGGCCACTTCGGGCTTTATTAACAAACAGTGTAGGAAACCAGATGGCTGGGTCCGGAGGAAGAGCTCCCCAGCCGCGGCCGGGTGCCCGCTGCCCACAGCACCTCGTGTCCCCCACCCCTCTCCCCGGGAGGCCCTGTCCCCTCTGGCCGTGTCCTGTGCAGCTCCCAACTCCGCTAGGTGTCCCTTCCTGGAGGGCGGGGCAGGCTGGGGACACAGGTGCCCCTGGGCTGGGGGCGGGGACCTCTGGTGGCCCAGGAGCCACGAGGGAAGAGGGATTCCTGAGAAGTGCAGACCCCCCCAGACACCACGCGGACAGACCGGCGGCCGAGCCCCAGGTGTGCTGGGGAGTCACGCACGGGGCACCGGGCATGCAGCGGGCGCCACCTTCCAGCCCCGCCCCATCCTCCCGGTGGCCACGGGGACGCTCAGGGTGGGGGTCACAGGTCCTTGCAGAAGTCCCTCACGAGCGCGTAGCCCATGCAGCCCCAGCCACCCTCTGCCTGGTAGCCGCAGCCCTCTAGCATGCTGGCCACGCCCCAGGCGGCCACGGCCACGGGGACGACCAGCCGGGCGCGCGTCTCCCCCATACCCCCAGCCCAGGCCAGAGCCCGGGACTCGGCGAATGCCAGCAGCCTTCTGCCCACGCCTTGGCGCCGGTGCCAGCGGGAGACAGAGAGGCGGGTGACGCGGGCTCCGTCCCCTGCACTGGTGCCAGGGGCCAGGGCCAGGACCCCGCACACGTCGCCGGAGCCGCGCACGGCCACCCAGGGCCCCCCCAGGCCGCCCGGGGGAGGCAGCGAGCCCCAGCGGGCTCGCAGGCCCAGCTTCAGGGCAGCCACGGCCAGGAACACCGGCAGCAGGAGGGCCAGGGCGAAGGAGGCCAGGACCAAGCGCAGGCCGCTGCTGGCCGCGGCCAGGAGGAGCAGGGCCGGGGGCCGCGTCAGCACGTGGAGGGCCACCCGGTTCTCCGTGTCCTTGACGCCGGCCTGTGGAGAGGGGTCCCCGGCTGTCCATCACACTGTGTGTGGCGGGGGAGGGGCCCCAGGTGGGAGCGGAAGGCGGTGTGGGGGCTGCATGGGTGAGAAGCTGGGGGCGGGGGCATCCAGGTCCGTGGCCCTGCCCGTCAGAGCCTGCGCCCTCCAGCAGCCAGCTGCTGCCAGCCCCTGGCAAAGGGTAGAGGGCAGCCGGGAGCCAGGGGGCCCAGGGAAGAGGCAGCCTCGGAGGACACTCGCTCGGGGCGGCTGAGCCCACTCCCAGCGAACCCCGGCCCCCGCCCCCGGGCTCACCTTTAACATCTCCAGCACCAGGGGCCTCTCATCCTCCCTCATCTCCCGCACGGACAGGTGGCTGGGGGCCATGGCGGCCCCCAGGCGCCCGCCCCCGGGCGGGGAGCTGGCGTCGTGCACCTGCCGAGGACACAAGCAGATCAGCGTCAGGTGGCCGCCCGCCGGGGTGCGGGGGACAGCAGCGCTTCCCGGGGCACTCAGGCCCGCGGCGCCCCCGAATGTTCCCCGGGACTCCCGCGCCCCGTGCTGCTCGGCCGTGGGCCCCAGCACTGCGCAGCGCCTGACCCTTCCCCGACGCAGGGGCCGCCGTGAGGGCCCCCACCCCCGCCCCTGCAGGCGTCTCCCGCCCCCTCGCGTCGCAGGAGGACCCGCGAGCACCTTACACGAGGTGTGGGGGAGCGGGGTCGGGCAGGGGTCGCCGGCGGAAGTGGCGTCAGAGCCGAACGGGGGGGGGCGGGCGGGGGCGCGGGCTCCCGGCCTCGGCCACCGCAGCCAGGCCTCCCGATGGGGCCCGAGGCTGCGAGCCGTGACTCTGCCACGTGACCTCGCCGAGCCCCGGGGAGAGGGCCGCGGCCGCGGCGGGCAGGAGTGGGCGCGCGCCCCTGCGCGACGTCCCCGCGTCGCCGGGCAACGGGCGCGGGAGGGCAGTGACGGCAGCGCGCGGGCTCCCATTGGCGCGCGGGCCCTCGCGGGAGGGGCTGCGCCCAAGCTCCGGTCCCCGGGGACCCGCACCCCAGCCCCGGCTTGCAGGGCTCTGAGGGGCGAGGGTCTCCTCCCCCCTCTTCAGGGGGGAGGCGGGGGGTGCCTGGCAGCGAACCAGCGGCAGAACCGGGGTTCGGGTCCCCCCCCCAAGGCCAGGGAAGCTGAGCTCGTGCCCCGCCCCAGGACATGAAGCAAGTCCCGGCTCCGGGCTCCCAGGCGGGGCCACAGCCCGGGCGCTGTCCCCCTCCCCCCAGCCCCCACACCCCAAGAAAGCGAGAGAGAAGAGATCCGCGGTCTTTATTAACCAAGCCTGGCCCGCAGGCCCTGCACTCTGCAGGCGGGGTCTGCGTGAGGCGGGCGCGGACACCCGTGGGGCCTCAAAACGTGTGCACCAGCTGGACGGAGGGCAGGGTCTGCACGATCTGGATGGAGGGCAGGGCCTGCGGGGGCACGACGCCGGGCCCAGCTCCTGCGGGGACCACTTGTACCATCTGGGCCGGGGAAGCGGCGGGCAGCCCGGCGGGGGCAGCCGCGGGGCCAGGCGGCGGCGGCGGCGGGGCCACGAGCTGCAGCGTGGCTGCGCCTCCCCCCGCGCCGCTGCCCTCCAGCAGCTCGCTGGCGGGGGCGCTGCGGATGATGAGAACCTTCTGCCCAGGCGGGCCGGGGGCGGGCGGCTCGCTGAGGCCGGGGGCGAGGGTCTCGACCTCCTGCACGCACAGCCGGGTCTGCTCCCCGTCCGCCCCGCTCAGCACCAGCACGCTCTGCAGCCCCTCGTCCGTCTGCAGCGTCTCGAAGAGGACGTCCTGCACCACCCCCGTGCCGGCCTCCGCGTCCCCCGCCTCCCCAGGGCCTGGGCCCGTGAGCAGCTCCTCCGCGGCTCCACTCTGCACCACCAGCAGGTTGGGGGCCTCGGTGGTCACGGTTGCCCCGCCGGAACCCGAGAGCTGGCCCGCCACGGGCTGCAGCTGCACCGTGGTCACTTCCTGGGCCGGCTGCAGCTGGACCCCACTCACTTCCTGCGGCCCTGCCTCCCCGCCCCCTACGTTCTGCAGAACAATCAGGCTGTGCCCCCCAGCACCGGCGCCCGCACCGCCCCCTCCCTGTCCCCCCAGACCTCCGGCGCCTGGCAGCCACACGACTCCCGCCCCCTGACCGGCTTTCCCCACTGCCCGCTCACACGGCCTCCCGCGGCTGCCCCCAGCCCCAGCGCCGGCGGAGGGCAGCAGGATGAGCTTGGGGGGTGCGGGCGGGGCCGGGGGCGTGGGGGGCTGCAGGCTGCTGGGGATCAGCTGGAGGCCCTGGGCGGTCTGCACGAGGAGAAACGTCTGCGAGTTGGGGGCTGCTGGGCCCGGGGCCGCGCCCCCCGCCACCTCCAGGGAGAGTGTGGCCTGGAGGTGCGGGAGCACGTGCACGTCCTGTGTGGCCAGCGGGGCCGGGGCGGCGGCCAGCGGGGCAGGCGCGTGGGGGCCGGCCGCGGGGGCGGGGGCGGCGGCAGTGCCGGCGGGGGCGTGCGTCCGCATGTGCCGCTGCAGGTAGGCGGCCATGACGAAGCCGCGGCCGCACACCGGGCAGGCGAAGGGGCGCTCGGCCGAGTGCGTGCGCTGGTGCAGCAGCAGGTTGGAAGAGTGCGTGAAGGTCTTGGGGCAGAGCGGGCAGCGGAAGGGGCGCTCGCCCGTGTGCACGCGCTGGTGCTGCCGCAGGTTGGAGGTCTGGGCGAAGCTCTTGCCGCAGACGCCGCAGGCGTGGGGGCGCTCGCCCGTGTGCACGTGGCGGTGGCGCCGCAGGCACGACGTGTTGCGGAAAGCCTTGCCGCACTCCCCGCACGCGTAGGGCCGCTCGCCCGAGTGCAGCCGCAGGTGGTACTGGTAGTGGGACGACCACTTGAAGGTGAGGCCGCACTGGCCGCAGGTGAAGGCGCGCAGCCCCGTGTGCACGCGCTGGTGGATGGCCAGCAGGGACGAGCGCTTGAAGGCCTTGCCGCACTCGCCGCACTGGTAGGGCCGCTCGCCCGTGTGGTCCCGCAGATGGTACCGCAGCCCCGAGGAGCCCTTGAAGGCCTTGCCGCACTCGGCGCACTTGTAGGGGCGCTCCGCAGAGGCCGGGGCAGGCGGGGCCGGCGGCTGCGGCGGCGGGGCGGGGGCGGCGGGAACCAGCGGCTCCTGGGGGCAGGTGACCTCGGCCGCCTCGGCCTGCGGGGGCGGGCGCCCGGCCGCCGCCTCCTCCACGTGGCACTGCTGGTGCGCCAGGAGGCTGGCCAGCTGCGGGAAGGCGCCGTCACAGCTGCCGCAGCGGAAGGCCTGCCCGCCGGCCGGCGCGTGGCTGTGCTGGTGGCGGGAGAGGCCGGCCACCGTCCGGAAGGACTTCCCGCAGGGCAGGCAGGCGAAGCCGGGCGCGGCGGCGGGCGCGGGCTGTGGCAGAGGGGCCCCGGGGCCCAGCGGCGCCGGCGGGTCGGCCTTGGGCGGCTCGCGGGGCGCGTCCTGGGGCCCGGGGCACGGCTGGTGCTCCAGCAGCAGCTCCTCGCTGCCGAAGCCCTGCTCGCAGCCGTCGCAGCGGTACACCAGCTCCACCGTGGTCTCGGCGGCCGCCAGAAACAACTCGGGCACCACGGGCGGGGGCGGCGGCGGCGGCGCGGGGGGCGCGGGCGGGCTGGGCGGCTGCAGAGGCGGCTGCAGGTAAGCCTCGGTCACCAGGACCTTGCCGGCGCCGGGGCAGGGCTCCCGGGGCGGTGGGGGCGGGGCGGCGGGCGCGGGGCCGGCGGCAGGCGCGGGGCCGTGCGTGCGCTGGTGCAGCAGCAGGTTGGAGGAGTGCGTGAAGGTCTTGGGGCAGAGCGGGCAGCGGAAGGGGCGCTCGCCCGTGTGCACGCGCTGGTGCTGCCGCAGGTTGGTGCTCTGCGTGAAGCTCTTGCCGCAGACGCCGCAGGCGTAGGGGCGCTCGCCCGTGTGCACGTGGCGGTGGCGCCGCAGGCTGGACGAGTTCTTGAAGGCCTTGGGGCAGTCGGGGCACGGGTAGGGGCGCTCGCCCGTGTGCTGCCGCAGGTGGTACTGGTAGTGGGACGACCACTTGAAGGCCAGGCCGCACTGGCCGCAGGTGAAGGCGCGCAGCCCCGTGTGCACGCTGCGGTGGATCTGCAGCAGCGACGAGCGCTTGAAGGCCTTGGGGCAGTCGGGGCATGGGTAGGGCCGCTCGCCCGTGTGGCCCCGCTGGTGGTACAGCAGCGCCGAGGAGCCCTTGAAGGCCTTGGGGCAGTCTGGGCACTTGTAGGGCCGCTCGCCCGTGTGCGTGCGCTGGTGGTGCAGCAGCCGCGAGGACCAGCGGAACGACTTGCCGCACTCCCCACACTCATACTGGGCTGCGGGGGCCGCGGGGCCCGGCTTCTCCCCGGCCCCCTCCGCGGTGGAGGCAGGCGCCATGTCCGCGTGGGAGCCGACCATCACACCTGGCGGAGGGATTCTGGGTCAGCGGCGGGCGCTACACTCAGCCCCGGCCACCCACCCCGCGGGGGGCCTCCCAGCAGCCCAGGGTTGCCCAGGAAAGAGGCTGCCAGTGTCAAAATGGAAACCACCCGACACACTGGGACAACGGGTCACCCTCGCGACGCTGGCCATCTCCCCGGACTGAGCAGCCCGACGCGGCCGGCAGGCCTGTGCTCCTTGCCCGCACAGCCAGGCCGCGTCCTCTGAAGACCTCACCCGCCTGCGCCCCACACGGGCTGCGGCCCGGCCTCGCCCTAAGCCTTCCGTCTGCCCACAGCCTCTGCAGGGCCCTGGCCTCCAGCCAGTCCCCCTAGCCACCATCACCCTGCCTCCTCGCTCACTCCCTCTTGGAACCCCCAATCCCTGGACATCAGCAGGTCTGTGGCCCCTGCTGCTGCGGGCCCTGTGCCACTGTCCCGCCCCCATTCTCACAGCCCCTCCCCCAGCCTATGCTGGCCCCACTGCACACACCCCGCTCTGAGGCTCCCTGGCGGCCTCTCTTCTCCCTAGACTCCAGCACCCCGTCCTCTCCTGCTCTAAGCGGGCAACCCCGCCACGGACCACACCGGCTCCGGGGAAAACACAAGCAATCCGGAGAGGAAGCCCTCAGCTTCCAGCCAGCGGCTCCCACCTCCCAGGGGAGCCCCGGCTGTCTATCAACTGCAGGGCAGGTGCTGCCAGCCTCTGGGGTGAGGCCAAGGGTCCTTCTCAACACTGCAGGGGTGCAGGACCACCCCCACGCAGTGGAGAGTGCTGAGACCCCTCCCCCACGAGGAGCCCACTGCCCTCCATGCCTGTGCCCTCGCATTCCCACAAGTCTCCCCGGGAGCCGTCCCACTCCCAGGGCTGCGCACCCCTGCCGGGCTGTGCCACGTGGCACACCTCGGACTTCCCATGCCCAACCCCACCCCAGCTTCCTGCGCCCGCTTCAGCCCCGTCTTCTGTCTGAAGGTGGCAGCCAGGGGCGCCGGGCCCTCCTCGCCCGCCTCTCTCCCCCTGGCTCTCGGAGGAGGTCCGCCAGCAGGGTCCCCTGCGGAACCCGGCCACTTCTGGAGGCCCACCTGTGTGCTGCCACCTCCTCTCCTGGAGGCCGCGCCAGGCCTCTGCCCCTGCCCCTTCCCTTCCTAACCCCACCTGTCCCCGGCACAGCAGCTCCAGGGAGGCCACTCCACTCCGCTGCCCTGAGACCTCCCAGAGGTCCCGTTTCTGAGCCTGCGGCCCCGTCCCCTCCGTGCCTTCGGCTGCGGGTCACCCCGGCCGCCAGCTTGCTCCCTCCTTGGGGCACCTGCCGGCGTCCCCAGCCCCCACCTCACCCCCAAGTCTTTGCCGACACTCCCCAGTCTCTGCCCCAGCCTCATCCGTGTCTCCATGGCACTCGTCCCCTCGGCGGTGGCCGGGCCAGAGTGTCCTGTGGGGCTGTCTTGTGCACGCCGCCAGCGCCAACCACGCCCCCGCAGCCGGGACCACCACACTGGCTCCTGATGTCGCCAGACTGACTCTGGGGCCTGCTCAACCCTCGCCTACCGCCCCCAAGACCGACTGCGGCAGCCCCTGCTGCAGGGCCGCCCCAGCGTGCAGAGGACCACCCAGGGTGCGGCCTCGGCCACGGTTTCCCCAGGCCGCAGAAACGGGGGCCTGTGTCCAGGGAACGAATCCCTTTGACGCATGAATGAATGAATGAACGAACGAATGAATGAGCACCCCCCCCCCGAAACGGTAGGCGAGGCCTCTGCGGGGACCCGTGCGTGCCCAGAAGCTGGTGCGCCTCTAAGAAGACCGAACATCGCTGGGGTCCCAGCGGCCGCGGCCCCGCTGGTGCACGGAGCAGAGCCGGCCCCTACAAGGCCGGTTCACGCCCTTCCAGCAGGTCGGACTTCCCCTTTAAGAGGGCGCCGCCACTGAGCGGCCGGGGAGCTTTTCCTGCCATTACCTACGCAGCCGTCACGGCCTTTTAATAAGACAACTCCTTTTAGGGGGCAAACAAACAAGAGGGGCGGCTTCTGTAAAACGCAGCCTCTGGCCCTTTAAGAGGGCGGCGCCGGCCCAGCGGGCACGAGTCGGCGGTAAAATAGCGACCTTCCCTTTAAGGCACCCCTTCCGGTTTCACGCTCACCGCTTCCCCAACGTCTCCGCCCTCCGGTCCCTCCCCCCACTCCCACCCCGCGGGGTCTCACCTGCGGCCCCGACCCGGGGAACGAGGGCGGGGAGCCCCAGAGCCTTCCCGCGGGGGCCGACGGGAAGGGGGCGCCCCGGTGGCGGCCGTGCGGGACAGGGGGCCGGGGAGGGGGGCGGGGGCGCGCTCCCTCCCGGCGGCCCCCGGCGCGAGGCACCCAACCTTTATCGGCGGCCTCTCGCGCACACAAACCCCGACGTCGCCGTCGCGCGTCATGACGCGCGCGCGCCGAGGCCCCGCCCCGAGCCGCCGCGCTCCCGGGCGCCGGCGGCGCGTGGCATCCTGGGAGTTGTAGTTCTCCGGGCCGCAGGCCAGGGCCTTCCGTTGTCCACCGGCTTTTTTGGAGTGCGCGCTGTTTCCCTAAGAGCAGCGTCCCTTTTACTTCTGCTTTCGTTAAACACTGGCCACACAGGAGGCGTCCACGCTGCCCAGAGGGCTACCAGGCAGGGCGGACGTGGAGGCGCAAAATTCTGTGCCAGCCCCGTGCCCCGGCCACCTTGTCCTCGCCCAGCCCGGCAGGAGGCCCGCAGGGTCCAGCAGCCGACGCGGCCCTGCTTCAAGCCAGGAAGTGGACAAAGCTTCGAAGTCCACGACGCTTCCTGGTCGTGGTAGCAAGTCCCCTCGGGGCAAGCTCCGGGGAGAAATCTCAGGCCAGGCCGTGTCCAGCGTTATCCAGGCCCAAAGAGAGCGGGGGGGGGGCTCTGAGCTGAGCCCTTCCGTGTAGCTCCTCTGTGGGCCACAGGGGACATGAGGGGGTCCCTGAGGACCCTGGAGCCAAGACGCAGGCGGAGGGGGGGGGTCTACCCCAGACCCTCCGCCCACAGAGCACCAGGAGCCGCTCCCCGGCCCCTCGACGTGGTCAGCGCCTCCCAGAGGGTCCCCGATCCGAGGCGGCCCCCGCCCCGCCCTCCCGTGGTCTCCCATCCCAGGGGAGCTGGAATTTTCTGGGCGTCTTCCTCCCGGGTTCTCTAGGGCGGCCCTGCTCACTGCTGCACACAGTAGGCGCTCAATAAATGCTGAAGCCCCGCCCCCATCACTGAGCCGGCTGGGTTAGGAGCCGGAGACCGGCGAACACCTGTCAGCGCCTGGAAGCGCAGGTAACCAGGGAGTCTCACCTGGCGCCGCGCCCTGCACCTTGGGCCGGAACGTGGGCGCCCCCTGGTGGAGCCTCCGGAGGTGTGCGCCCGGCCCGGCCCGGACTGGCAGGTGCGGCGGCCGCCCCCATGCTGCGCTCACCCTCCAGCGCCCCCACGGCCCCTTGCCGAGGGCACCTGCACCTACCCCTCTGGGCCGCGGCCAAGACATAGAGGGAGGCCGAGCGACAGAGCTGAGCGGACGACAAAAGGCAAAGAAATGCAGTCCCGAGGGAGGGACGAGGGGGAGTCCGGACCGAACACCCGACAGGCCCGAGGGTCGCAGTGGGGCTGGAGACCCTGGAAGACCCCTGAGAGAGTCCCTGACGCCCCGGCTGGGCCTGCTGTGCACCTGCCACCAGCACCCAGGCCCCACGTCCCCTCGGTAGCCTCCCTGGGGAGAAAGCTGCAGGCCAGTCTTGGCTTCCCCTGGAGCCAGGGAAGGCGGCAGGGGCAGGTGGGCGTCGGCCCCACACCTCGGAGGCTCCCTCCGGCCCCCTCCCCAGGACGCCAATTAAGGGTCCTCCACGCTAATCGCTGCGGTTGACACGCTCTGGCCGCCTCGCCTCCCTCCGGAAGCCTTTGTCCCCTTAATTGGCTATCTCCAGGCGCTTTTCTCTGCACCTGCCCACGCGCCCGGCCTGGATCCCAGGTCCAGCTATGTGGTAATTGGGCACTGGAGGGGAGGGGGCGGTGCGCAGAAAGCCCCCTCCCCTCCCTGCCCCATGCCCGCCTATATCAGCCCCTCACCTGCTGGGCCCTCAAACCGCGGGGCACGGAGAGAGGTCTTGTCCTGTCCCAGGGCCCCACCTCCATACTCCCCACCCCGCGCCTCGGCCGTGTCCACCTGCGCCTCTTCTCCTGCTCGGCCATGCACCCCGGAGTCCCCGCAGCCCCCGGGGTCTCCGAGCCCGGCCCCAGGGAGCTGTGCGCCTTCGTGAGCGGGGCGGCTGCCCACATGCTGCGGGCCCTGCAGCCCCGGCGCTCCAAGCCCCCCAAAAGGAAGCCCAACCACAGACGGTTCCTGCACAACCAGATCTGCAGGTGAGGCGTCGGCAGGGGCGGGGGCGACCCTGGGGCTGAACGAGAACAGCACCTACTGTGCGCCAGCCCCCCCAAGATGGCGGTGGAGAAGCAGTGACGCAGTCAGTGAGCACAGGAGGTGGTAGCGTCTGGGCAGAGGCGGCCAGGGCTGCAGGGGAGAGGACGGGAGAGGCCCCAGCACACCTGCAAGTGGCCGTCAGCCACATCGGGGACGGACCCAGCGGCGCCCTGGGCTGCACCCCTGCGAGCCGTGGCTGTGCTGTCCACTGGGCCTGGACGTGGACAAAGCACGGGGGAGCAGGGCCCCGGGGCCCCTTGGAGCAAGCACTGGGGGCCAATGGAGCCCCCCCTTCTCTGAGTTCTTGACCCCAGGCCACGGGGTCTCTCTTGCAGGAGGGGAAGTTGTGGGAGGGTCTGGGGCAGCCTCTCTGAGGGGCCTCCCAGGGGGCCAGTGGGAGGCTCGGGAAGAAGCGGGGGTCTGAGCGCATGTGCCCCGGCCTCCGCACCCCTCCACCTGGCGACCCTGCCTCCGCCCCTGTCAGCCCAGCCCTGCCGGTCCAGCCTCCCTCCCCCCAGCCCTGCACTTCCCCCCTACACCCGCCAAGGCTTCACCCGTGCCCTGTCACCTCCAAGTGGCCCGCGTGCTGGCTTCGGTCCCTGGCCCTGCTGCAGGCGTGGCGGCTGCATAGCCAGAGTCCAGAGCACACGCTCACCACCACTCAGCCGCCCGGGGCTGGATGGTGGTGATGGAGGCGACGACGGCGAGGACGGTGATGGTGGTGGCCTTGGTGGTGGTGATGAGGATGATGGTGGTGGTCGTGGTGAGGATGATGATGGTGAGGATGATGATGGTGGTGGTGGTGAGGATGGTGATGGTGGTGGTGGTGATGGAGGTGATGACGGCGAAGACAGTGATATGGTGGTAGTGGTGGTGATGATAGTGAGGATGATGGTGGTGGTGGCGATGAAGGTGATGAAGGCGAGGATGGTGATGGTGATGGTGGTGAGGATGATGACGGTGGTGATGGTTGTGACACTGGAGGTGAGGATGGTGATGATGGTGAAGGTATCTAACAATTGTATGACAATATGAAGGATCTTCCAGAGGTTCATGGGAAATGCACATTATGGGGAAAAACCACATGAGTTTTGAATTCTATGCATCAAAATAAACATCTCTCTTTTAAAAAAAGATTTATTTATTTGTTTGAAAGGCAGAGTTACAGAGAGGCAGAGAGAGAGAGAGGGAGATGAGAGAGAGGGAGAGAGAGGGAGAGGGAGAGGTCTTCCATCCACTGGTTCATTCCCTGACAGATAGGGTGAGCCAAGCTGAAGCCAGGAGCTTCCTCCGGGTCTCCCACATGGGTGCCAGGGCCCAAGGACTTGAGCCATCTTCCACTGCTTTCCCAGGCCACAGCAGAGAGCTGGATCGGAAGTGGAGCAGCCGGGACTTGAACCCGCGCTCACATGGGATTCCAGCACCGCAGGCCGTGACTTAACTCATTAATGCAACAATACTGGCCCCAGAATAAACATCTCTCAATCGTGTTTTTCCAGGAACTTGTTTGAACTCCCCTGGAGCGTGCCAGGCACCATACACGCGCTTCCATGTGAATCCATAGAAAGTTACGAAGTGAGAATCAGCTCCAGGGAGCCAGGGAGGGACCGCAGACCTACGGGGCGCAGAGAGGCCCAGCTCACGTCCCAAGCTCTGCTTCCGGAAGATTCAAAGCCAATCTGAAGCGAAGTAGGAGTAGGAGCCGGGTCCGACCTAATCCCGCCCCCCACTGCAAGCTCTCTGCCCAGCACCCCCACCCCGCACAGGGCCCCGTCTTCCCAGCTGGCCCTGTAACGCCGCTCCGGCCCGCCCCCTGTGCAGCCCACCCGGACCCCGTGTCCACACCCGCACGCCCAGAACCAAGGCTCCCAGGATCCCGGGCTTCCCCGAGGGCCTCCAGGTCCGAGCACTGTCACTCAGTGCCTTCCCGTCATCTGCGTGTCTGAGATCGATCGATTGATTGATTGACTGGAAAGGCAGAGTTATAGAGAGATAGACACACACACACACACACACACACACACACAGATCTTTGGGGCCAGCGCTATGGCACAGCAGGTTTAGCCGCCACTTGCAGTGCCGGCATCCCACGTGGGTGCCGGTTCTAGTCCCGGCTGCTCCTCTTCCCATCCAGCTCTCTGCTGTGGCCTGGGAAAGCAGTGGAGGATGGCCTAAGTGCTTGGGCCCCTGCACCCGCGTGGGAGACCTGGAGGAAGCTCCTGGCTCCTGGCTTCAGCCTGGACCAGCCCCAGCTGTTGGGGCCGTCTGGAGAGTGGGCCTGTGGATGGACAATTTCGCTCTTTCTCTCTGTCTCTGTCTCTCTCCCTCCCTCTCTGTCATTCTGCCTTTCAAATAAATAAATACATCTGTTTAAGATAGATTTTTGTTTATTTGAAAGGAAGTGAGAAGGAGAGAGATCGTCCATATGCTGGTTCACTCCCCAAATGCCCACAATAGCCGGGACTGGGCCAGGCAGAGGCCAGGAGCCTGGAGCTCCATCCGGGTCCCCCACGTCAGGTAGCGGGGACCCAGGCACTTGGGCCGTCCTCTGCTGCCCCCCAGGGTGGGGACCCCCACGTCAGGTAGCGGGGACCCAGGCACTTGGGCCGTCCTCTGCTGCCCCCCAGGGTGGGGTCCCCCACGTCAGGTAGCGGGGACCCAGGCACTTGGGCCGTCCTCTGCTGCCCCCCAGGGTGGGGTCCCCCACGTCAGGTAGCGGGGACCCAGGCACTTGGGCCGTCCTCTGCTGCCCCCCAGGGTGGGGACCCCCACGTCAGGTAGCGGGGACCCAGGCACTTGGGCCGTCCTCTGCTGCCCCCCAGGGTGGGGTCCCCCACGTCAGGTAGCGGGGACCCAGGCACTTGGGCCGTCCTCTGCTGCCCCCCAGGGTGGGGACCCCCACGTCAGGTAGCGGGGACCCAGGCACTTGGGCCGTCCTCTGCTGCCCCCCAGGGTGTGCATTAGCAGGGAGCTGCATCACAACTCAAACCCAGACAAGAGGCGGCTAAACCCTGCACCACCGTGCCCACCCCACACATGGGCTTTAAAAAAATTATTTATTTGAAAGACAGAGAGAGAGACACAGAGAGATGTGTGTTCCATCCACTGGTTCACTCCTCAATTGGCCCCAATGGCTGGAGCTGCGCCGATCTGAAGCCAGGAGCCAGGAGCTTCTTCCAGGTCTCCCACATGGGTGCAGGGGCCCAAGGACTTGGGCCATCTTCCACTGCTTTCCCAGGCCACAGCAGAGAGCTGGATCAGAAGTGGAACAGCCAGGGCTAGAACTGACGCCCGTATGGGATGCCGGCAATGCAGGCAGCAGCTTTACCTGCTGTGCCACAGCGCCGGCCCCTCCCTACCTGTATATGTATGTGTATCTCTCATGGAAGGTTAGCGCACATGCACACACACGCACACACACCCACCGCCAGTGAGCACTTGGGTGGACTTCCCGAGGCACCCAGCAGAGTGACACAGACGCCGACCCAGGCCCAGCCCAAGCCGCCATCCTGACCCCTCTGCTTCCCAACACAAAGGCAGGCCCGCGGCCCCCACTGTGAGTCTCGGGCCAAGCCGCGGACTCCCTCCCGGTGCCGGGACCCACGTCCGGGGCCCAGCTCGCCCCGTGGCTGCACCGGCGGCTCCTCTGTGCGTACCTGGGTCCCCAGTCCCCTTCCGAGGACACCAGAGGGGACAAGGACCCACAGGAGCGACTGTCTCACCCTCGTCACTTCTCAAGGCCCCCTCCCCAAATCCGCTCTCCTCTGAGGTGCTGCAGGCTGGGGCTTTGGCATTCAAACTTGGGGGGACACACGTGGCCCGCGGCAGCTGGAGACCCATGTGGGTTGCTGGGGGGCGGTGCGGTGACAGTGGTGTGACAGATGCCACGAGGCGGGCGGGCTCAAGAGGCGCTCTAGAAGTGGAATCCAAGGCCATCCATGTCCCAGGGCCACCGCCAGCCCACAGCCCACCCCAGAGTGAAAGACACCCCTTCTCTGGGGTATTTTGTGCAGTGCACAACCCCAGCACCTGTGCAGAGCAGCCCTATGAATGGACTTAGAAACACTGAACGGTCCGGGGAGTTCAGGGGGGAAGGGGGGGTCCGATCTGGCACCCCCCCAGCGGGGGCAGCCACCCAGCTAACGCCCGTCTCCCCACAGGCAGTTCGCCACGATCGAGGCGGCCACGCAGCGCCTGGCCCTGTCCATCCTGTCCCAGGAGGCGCCTCCCCAGAGACGGCCACCCCGAAGGCCGCCCCCACCGCCGCCGTCCCCCTTCCTGGGGGTGGCCTGCGCCGAGGCCCCCACGGAGGGGCCCCACGCCAGCCCCAGCCTGAGCCTCGCCGCCCTGGACGCCGCCACCCTGGACCTCTTCGAAGACATCGCACTGGCCCCAGAGAGCCCCGCCCCTCAGCTGGCCGCAGCTGGGCCGGCGCCACCTGTCCCCGACGCCCTGACCCACACCCAGCATGCCCTGGAGGGGGCGGCCTCCGAGTGGGGCTGGGCGGACAGGTGGGAAGTGCCCTGTGCCTGGGATTCGCCCGGGGCCCCGGACGGCTGGGGGGCCTGCTGCCCGTGATGGCCAGCCCAGGCCCAGCAGGCGCCCCAGCCCTGCGGAGGCGGGCGCAGCCTCACCGCTGGTCCTGGGCGGGGGGCTCCCTCTCACGCCCCTCCCTGGCGCCGCTGCGCCCAGTGTCTGCCCCCGACCCGGACCCCAGGGCTGGCAATAAACCTGACCGCAAAGCCGCCGGGGTCTCCAGCTTCAGACTGGACGCGCAGCGGGGAGATGTCGCGGGGGCCGCGGGACAGCGGGGTGGGACGGTCAGGGAGCGCGCCCAGCGTCCGGAGGGCGGCTGGACGTTAGCCCGAGGCTACTCCCAGACCGACGTGGGCAGCTGTCCATCTCTCGCCACCCACGTCCAAGCCCAGAGTCCGAATCCTACAAACACCATGCAAGCAGAGCACGGACGCCAGGCCCCTGCCCCTGCCCCTGCCCTGGCCACCGCCTCCCCCTCCCCCTCCCCTCGCCCCCGTCCTCTCTCCGGCCCTCAGTGACGTGGTCTGCACCGGGCCCAGCCGAGGTACCTGCCCTCTCCGGCTGGAATCCGAACTCCCCGCGACCACCCAGTGCCGCCCCCTGCCACTCACGCCCGCCACGGCTCTCCATTGGTCGGATGCGCTAACTCCCCGCCCCGCCGCCCTCCTACGGACCAATCATGTCCTTAGGACCGGCAGCCTAGCAGCCACGGCCCCTTTATTGAGGACGAAGATTGGTCGAAAGGGAGGGACCGGACAAAATTGGCGAGCGCTGATTGGGCTGTTTTACCCAAGTGGGCGGAACCGCCGGGGAGTTGGGGGGGCGGAGGCAGCGGTGCTCACGGATTGGCCGGAAGGGAAGGGGGCGGACAGAGCGAGGCGAGCACCGATTGGGAGGCTCGGCCAGGGTGGGCGGGACGCAGACGGGAGGCGGGCCACGTGTTTGGTGACCTTGCGTGGGACCCTAGTCCTGCTGACTGGGAGCGGAAGTGCGGCTGCCCCGAGGTGAGTGTCCTCGGGCTCGAACCCGGCGCCTTCCGGGTAAGTCCGCGCTCGCAGCCCGCGCCGCTCGGAGCGCGCGGGGAAACTGAGTCTCCGCCGCGGGGAGGAGGCGCGTGGCGCCTCCGGCCCCGGCTGGCCGGGTGGGGGACGGGAGCCCGCCTCGGCCCCGCGTGGGCCGTGGCTTTGACCCTCGTCCCTCCGAGGGAGAAGGAGGGGCGCAGACCAGTGGACCTTGCCCCGGGGCCGGCCGGGAAGCCCCGGGGCTGGGGTCGCGCGAGGCCCCTCTGGACGCGCCCCAAGCCTGTGTCCGGCCTGGAGGTCGCCCTGCACAGCTCGCAGGCGTACCCCCGCCCCATCCGGGACGCGGGGTCTTCGGCTGCCCCAACTCCCTGCGCCCCCAGCCCCAGGCACGCTCTGGCCTCTGCCCCCAGGGCACCCAAGTCCTCTACCTTGTTTTTATCTTGGAAACTTTGTGGAAGTGTGCCCCGCCGGCAACCGCACCAAGCACAGACACACAGCGCAAATAATGCCCCCGAGGCCGGCAGCTGGCTGAACACAGCGGAGTTAGAGCGTCCAGGGGCTGCTGCACCCTTACAGGGCCACACCAGCCAGGGCTGGGCCAGGCCCCTGCAGGAGCCTCCTCCGGGTCTCCCCCATGGGCACAGGGGCCCAAGCACCTGGCCCATCCTCTGCGGCTTTCCCGGGTGCACTTGCAGGGAGCTGGATGGGAAGTGGAGCAGCCGGGACTCGAACCGGCGCCGCAGGTGGCAGCTCAGCCGGCCGGGGCCCCTGCTTTGACTTCGGACGCCCCGGACTGGTCTGACAGGTCTGTAGCCTTACGTGAACCTTTCATAACACTTTCATAACACAGTGTTTGTCAGGCGCAGTGGACTAGGACAACAGGGAAAATCAGTGTCCACCCTCTGCCCCCGGCGCGGGCCCGTGGCTGCCGCACCTACCAGAGAGGGCAGAGAGACGAGCCCAGGCTCGCTCCGGGTGCAGCCCGGGCCTCCCGGACCCGGCCCTGCGGCTGTTCCCGAGCCCTCTCTGGAGCACTGTTTCCTGCTCCGACTACAGCGAGCTCCCTGGTGGTTCTTCTTCGTTCATGCATTCATTCATTTTTGTGGCTGCAGAGGATCTACAGTGACCAGTGCCCCGGGGAGTGAACCAGTGGGTCAAAGATCTCCCTGTCTCAGACCCAGGATCTCGGGGCGGGTTTCCTGGCCGGAGAGGCCGAGTAGCCACGGTCTGGGGTCTTCCTGGCCTTCTGAGTGCCCCTGGGAACCACGGGGACCCAAGACCAGCCCCGCCCACACGGCCCCCCTGTACTGGAGGCTGCACAGCTTCCCACGCCCCACCCCCGGATCGGCCCTCCCTGCCCCCACCTGCAGCTGTCCCTCGGTGCTGGGGATCCCCGCGCCCACTCTGTGCAGTCCAGGTGGACGCACAGGTGCAGCAGGGCCCCGGCGGGGGGGGGGGGGGGGGACGTGGTCCCGGGGGCAGGGCCAAGGGGGCCAGGGGCCTGGCAGCCAGCTTGGTCGCCCAGAGCGACCGGGTCCCCGGACGTCGTGGCAGGGCGGTGCTAAGGGTTTGTTTTAGCGGACCGTCTGCTCAACCTGTTCTTTTTTTCAAGTGATCTCATGTGGTCAAAGCGTTTCCCTTGGGCGGTGGGCCTGGAGAAGCAGGGGCGCGGGGTGAAGCCGTGAGCACGCACGGCGCACGCGCGGTGGGAGCTGCACGCAGGGACATGGGCAGGGTCCCGGCCGCGGGAACCCCGCAGCCAAGGGTGCGGGTGCTGACGGGGTGGTCGCGGGGCCTTGTGGGAGTCGCAGCCCTGTGGAAGCAATGCAGGCAGGGGCTTCGCCGGTTCTGTCCTTTCTCTCTATTTCTTTCTTTTTTTCTTTTTCTTTCTATTTTTTTTTTTTTATTAGGCAGAGTTACTGAGGGAGAGACAGAGAGAAAGGTCTTCCTTCCGTTGGTTCACCCCCCAAATGGCCGCTACAGCCAGCGCGCTACGCCGATCCGAAGCCAGGAGCCAGGTGCTTCCTTCTGGTCTCCCATGGGGTGCAGGGCCCAAGCACTTGGGCCATCCTCCACTGCCTTCCCGAGCCACAGCAGAGAGCTGGCCTGGAAGAGGAGCAGCCGGGACAGAACCCGGTGACCATATGGGATGCCAGCGCAGCAGGCAGAGGATTAACCAAGTGAGCCAGGGCGCCGGCCCCTTATTTCTTTCCAAGATTTAGTTATTCGAGAGGCAGAGTTGCAGAGAGAGAACCGCTGGTTCACTCCCCAGATGGCCACAACAGCCGGAACTGGGCGGATGAGAAGCCAGGAGCTTCTTCCAGGTCTCCCATGTGGGTGCAGGGGCCCCAGGACCTGGGCCATCTTCCACTGCTTTCCCAGGCCACAGCAGAGAGCTGGACTGGAAGTGGAGTAGCCAGGACTAGAACCAGCGCCCATATGGGATGCCGGTACTGCAGGTGGAGGCTTTACCCACTACGCCACAGCGCCAGCCCCTCTTACTTCTCTAATTGTGAAATACGAATCATAAAACCCGGGTAAGACTCCCCTTAGGATGCCGGCATCCTGTCGTGCCGTGCCTGGGTTGAGTTTCCAGCTCCTCTGCATGGATTGCAGCTTCCTGCTGACATGCAGCCGGATCCCAGCCCCAGGGGAGCCCGGGGGAGCTCAGGGGAGCTCAGGCTCCTGGTAGCGGTGACTGCCGGATCCCAGCCCCAGGGGAGTTCAGGCTCCTGGTAGCGGTGACTGCCGGATCCCAGCCCCAGGGGAGCTCAGGGGCACTCAGGCTCCTGGTAGCGGTGACTGCCGGATCCCAGCCCCAGGGGAGCTCAGGGGAACTCAGGCTCCTGGTAGCGGTGACTGCCGGGTCCCAGCCCCAGGGGAGCCCCGGGGCACTCAGGCTCCTGGTAGCGGTGACTGCCAGATCCCAGCCCCAGGGGAGCCCAGGGGAGCTCAGGCTCCTGGTAGCGGTGACTGCCGGGTCCCAGCCCCAGCCAGTGTGGACATTTCGGTGATGAATTAGCAAATGGCAAATCTTTCCTTTTTAAATAAAATGAAAATAAGTACATTGTTTAAAACTTAATGATTTTTAATTCGTTACTCTGAGAGCTTCCATCCACTGGCTCACTCTCCAAGTGCCTGCCCCCTTTTAATTATTTTTAAATGTGCAGTCCCAGGCCAGGGGTGTGGCCAGGCATTAAGCTGCCCTTGGGGACAGCTGCATCCCGCACCCACTGCCTGGGACCCCGTCCCGCCTCCGCTTCCAGCCCCCGCTTTCTAAGGAGCCTGGGAGGCGGGAGATGATGGCCCAAGGCTGCGGTCCCGGCCACCCACGTGGGAGTTCTGGCTCCTGGCTTCCGCCTGGCCCAGGCCCAACTGTTGTGGGCATTTGGGGAGTGAACCAGTGAATGGAAGATCTCTCTCTCTCTCTAACAAATATATAATAAAGTAAAATAAAGCACACAGCAGAGAGCCAGCCTGCCGCCCCAAGCACAATCCGTCCCCCTGGGCTCCTGGCCGCCCCCATGCAGAGTGCATCTCCCAGACTCCTGGCTGCCCCCCCCACACAGAGTCCGTGCCCTGGGCTCCTGGCCGCCCCAAGCACAGTCCGTCCCCCTGGGCTCCTGGCCGCCCCCATGCAGAGTGCATCTCCCAGACTCCTGGCCGCCCCCCCCCCCCAGAGTCCATGCCCTGGGCTGCTGGCCGCCCCCATGCAGAGTGCATCTCCCGGACTCCTGGCCGCCCCCCCCCCCCCACAGAGTCCATGCCCTGGACTCCTGGCCACCCCCTACCACACAGAGACCGTGCCCTGGGCTCCTGGCCGCCCCCACCACGCAGAGTCCGTGCCCTGGGCTCCTGGCCGCCCCCCCACACAGCGTCCGTGCCCTGGACTCCTGGCCGCCCCTGCAGAGTCCAGTCCCCTGGGCTACTGGCCGCCCCCTACCACGCAGAGTCCGTGCCCTGGGCTCCTGGCCGCCCCCTACCACGCAGAGACCATGCCCTGGGCTCCTGGCCGCCCCCTACCACGCAGAGTCCGTGCCCTGGGCTCCTGGCCGCCCCCTACCACGCAGAGTCCGTGCCCTGGGCTCCTGGCCGCCCCCTACCACGCAGAGTCCGTGCCCTGGGCTCCTGGCCGCCCCTGCAGAGTCCAGCCCCCTGGGCTCCTGGCCGCCCCTGCAGAGTCCAGCCCCCTGGGCTCCTGGCCGCCCCAGCACGGGCGTTTCCTGCTCTGCTGTCTGGCGTGGGTGGGGCCTCCGGGTCTGTGTGCTGTGGGCTGTGCCCAGGCAACAGGGCAGTGGCACCTCCTCCAGACCTGGGGGCTCGGCCGCCATATGGGCTCGTGGGTACACAGAATGCCAGGGGCCCCCAGCGCCCCAAGTGCACACAGGCCCTGGACAGGAGCCGGGCACCTCCCGGAAGCTCCCCACTCTCCACCTGACCCTAAATCCGTCCCTCTCCCAGCCCACCTAGGAAATGGCGGCTGCGAGGCCTGGCCTGGGCCGAGTCCACCCTGGGTCCTCCATCTTGTTCCTGTGCGACATGCAAGAGAAGTTCCGCCACGGCATCGCCTACTTCCCACAGATCGTCTCGGTGGCCGCGCGCATGCTCAGGGTGGGCCCCAGCCTCCTCCCTCAGACCAGCAGTGCAGGCCCAGCCTCCTCCCTCAGACCAGCAGTGCAGGCCCAGCCCTCCCTCCTCAGACCAGCAGTGCACACCCAGCCTCCTCCCCCAGCCCTTCCCCCTCAGACCAGCAGTGCACGCCCAGCCCTCCCTCCTCAGACCAGCAGTGCACGCCCAGCCCTCCTCCCTCAGACCAGCAGTGCATACCCAGCCCTTCCCCCTCAGACCAGCAGTGCACGCCCAGCCCTCTCTCCTCAGACCAGCAGTGCACGCCCACCCCTCCTCCCTCAGACCAGCAGTGCATACCCAGCCCTTCCCCCTCAGACCAGCAGTGCACGCCCAGCCCGCCCTCCTCAGACCAGCAGTGCAGGCCCAGCCTCCTCCCTCAGACCAGCAGTGCACACCCAGCCCTCCCTCCTCAGACCAGCAGTGCACACCCAGCCCTCCCTCCTCAGACCAGCAGTGCACACCCAGCCCTCCCTCCTCAGACCAGCAGTGCAGGCCCAGCCCTTCCCCCTCAGACCAGCAGTGCACGCCCAGCCCTCCCTCCTCAGACCAGCAGTGCACACCCAGCCCTCCCTCCTCAGACCAGCAGTGCACGCCCAGCCCTCTCTCCTCAGACCAACAGTGCACGCCCAGCCCTCCTCCCTCAGACCAGCAGTGCATGCCCAGCCCTCCCTCCCTCAGACCATCAGTGCACACCCAGCCCTCCCTCCTCAGACCAGCAGTGCACACCCAGCCTCCTCCCTCAGACCAGCAGTGCAGGCCCAGCCTCCTCCCTCAGACCAGCAGTGCAGGCCCAGCCTCCTCCCTCAGACCAACAGTGCACGCCCAGCCCTCCTCCCTCAGACTAGCAGTGCACGCCCAGCCCTCCCTCCTCAGACCAGCAGTGCACGCCCAGCCCTCCCTCCTCAGACCAGCAGTGCACGCCCAGCCCTCCTCCCTCAGACCAGGGGAACTCCAGCCTTCTCCCTCAGACCAACAGTGCACGCCCAGCCCTCCTCCCTCAGACTAGCAGTGCACGCCCAGCCTCCCCCCTCAGACCAGGGATCCAGCCCCACTCGTCTTCTCTTAGACCTGGAAGCCCAGGTCCTGGTGCCTCCTCCTTGAGACCCACACTTTCCTGCCCCCACCCCGTGCAGGTGGCGCGGCTGCTGGGGGTGCCGGCTGTGCTGACGGAGCAGTACCCACAGGGCCTGGGCCCCACGGTGCCGGAGCTGGGCGCCGAGGGCCTGCAGCCACTAAGCAAGACCTGCTTCAGCATGGTGCCCGCCGCGCGGCAGGAGCTGGACAGCCGGCCTCAGCTGCAGTCCGTGCTGCTCTGTGGCATCGAGGCGCAGGCCTGCATCCTGGTGAGCCCCGGCCCCGCCCCCGGCGCCCCACCCTGAGGGGAGTCACCTGCCCGATGGCAGACACCTGTCCCAGGGAGTCACCTGCCCCAGGGAGTCACCTGACCCAGGGAGACACCTGTCCCAGGGAGTCACCTGTCCCAGGGAGACACCTGTCCCATAGGAGACACCTGTCCCAGGGAGGCACCTGTCCCATAGGAGACACCTGACCCAGGGAGGCACCTGCCCCGATGGCAGACACCTGTCCCACAGGAGACACTTGCCCCACGGGAGGTACCTGCCCCAGGGAGGCATCTGCCCCCTGGGACACTGCCCTGATAAGAGACACCTGCCCCACGGGAGACACCCGCCCCACAGGAGACACCTTCCCCACCTCCCCACGGGAGACACCCTCCCCACGGGAGACACCTGCCCCAGGGAGGCACCCTCCCCACAGGAGACACCCGCCCCAGGGAGACACCCGCCCTACAGAGACACCCGCCCCAGGAAGGCACCCGCCCCACAGGAGACACCCTCCCCACAGGAGACACCTGCCCCAGGGAGGCACCCTCCCCACAGGAGACACCTGCCCCAGGGAGACACCCGCCCCAGGAAGGCACCCGCCCCACAGGAGACACCCTCCCCACGGGAGACACCTGCCCCAGGGAGGCACCCTCCCCACAGGAGACACCCGCCCCAGGGAGGCACCCGCCCCACAGAGACACCCTCCCCACGGGAGACACCTGCCCCAGGGAGGCACCCTCCCCACAGAAGACACCCTCCCCACGGGATACACCCGCCCCATGGGAGACACCCGCCCCACAAGAGACACCTCCCCACGGGAGACACCCGCCCCAGGGAGGCACCTGCCCCAGGGGGGCACCCTCATCCTCACGCCAGGTCCTCAGCCTGGCCCAGGCCCTGCTCCCCTCCGGGGTTGGCCCTGACCCTCTTGTGCCCCCAGAACACCGCCCTGGACCTGCTGGACCGGGGGCTGCAGGTGCACGTGGTGGCGGACGCCTGCTCCTCCCGCAGGTGAGAGGGCCCTCCTGGGGTGGGGGCGAGGGAGAGCCGGGGGCACCAGGTGACGGCTGCCCGCTTCCCCCCCGCAGCCAGGTGGACCGGCTGGTGGCGCTGGCCCGCATGCGGCAGAGTGGCGCCTTCCTCTGCTCCAGTGAGGGCCTCATCCTGCAGCTCGTGGGTGACGCCGCCCACCCCCAGTTCAAGGAGGTAGGGCACTGCAGGGAGAGCCTAGCTGGGGGGGGCTGCACCCCCAAGTAACAGAGCCGGAGGGGGCCCAGTGTCCCTAAGGGGGTGGAGTCCGGGAGTGCTTCCTGGAGGAGGCAGCGTTAGAGGGATGGGAGACCCTTGACACCCCCATGCCTCCCACCTCTCCCCGTCCCATGCCCCCTCCGCCAGTCTCGGCATGCACTGCCCATGTGGGCTCCCTGGCACTCTCCCGGGGCCTGCCCAAGGACGCCACCTGCTTCAACCCCTCAGCTCTCAGGAACTTGAGGTGCCCTGTCCCCCGAGGTCTGCCCCTTGGTGAGCACTGCTGTGTGTCAGCCACGTGCAACCCCGCGGTGGGGTGGGGGGCAACAGCAGGGCCACCCCCACCCCCCAGGGCCAGGAAAGACAAAGGCAGAGCCCTGCTGGGGAGCTGAGGGCTCGGGGAGCTGGAGCTGAGGGACGGCCGTCGGTCCCCAGGTGCTCCCGGCTGAGGGGACACCTAGGAGGAAGGCCAGGGCTGGCTTGGCCTCCAGGAGGGTCCAGTGAGGGCCGGGCTGGGGGGAGGGGAGGATGCAGCCGCCGGAGCCCTGTCTGCCCTGAAGACTGGGAGTTCCAGCCAGCTTGCAGAGCTGTCTATGCTGCTACCTGGTGGCCGGTGGGTCAGCGTGGCTGGCGTGTTTGGGTGAGGCCAGCAGCGGTGGGAGGTCTGGACCACAGTGGAGGCAGCGGTGGGCGGGCGGGCAGGTGCATGGCCCGGGGCTGGTTGCTCTTGTCTGAGAGACATGGGGGCAGAGCCTGAGCTGCACGGGAGAGCTGAGGGCCCCCAAGAGGGGCAGGGGCGATGAGCTCACTGAGGAAGAGGAAGGTGTCCCAGAGAAGCCCCAGCACTGAGCATGTGCCCTTGGGCCCGGCCAGCAGAGCCGACCAGGATGCTTGGCAGTTAGGAGCTAAGCCAGGAAAACCAGGAACGGTCGGCTCAGCCAGCTGCTGCCCAGAGGTGTGGGGAGATGAAGCTGCCGAAGTGTCCCTGGGATCTGTCACACTGAATCCCCGCGCCCCTACAGATCCAAAAGATCATCAAGGAACCCGCCCCGGACAGTGGGCTGCTGGGCCTCTTCCAGGGCCAGAACCCCCTCTTCGGCTGATCTCCCACCCTGCCTCGAAGGGAGACCACCCTCCAGCCATCCGGACCTTGGTGGAAGCGCTTTCCCCCATCCCTGCCTCCCAAGAGTGGTGCGGTCCACCAGGAATACCGCCCCCTCGGGAGGGGGCGGGGCGCTGCCTTCCCATTGGACGGCCGCTCCCGGAAATGCAAATGAGACTCCTGGAAGCTGGCCGGGAGTTGGCTGAGGGAGTCGTGGGGGTGGGGCTCGGCCCCGGGCCGCTGCAAGGGGCGGGAAGGGGAGGGGGTGGGAATGTCACCGACTGTGAGACCCGATCTCGCAGAATAAACATTGATGTGGCTGTGGACCGAACCATTCTTGGGTTTGGGGGGTAGCCCGGGGGCGACTGGGGGCTCCAGGCGGGAGAAAGAGGGGTCCCCAGCAGGTGGGGAGGGGGCGGTGCCTCGTCGGAGCTGCAAGCCGGCGCCAGGCGAGGGCGAGGGCTGGCCGCGGCCACATCTGCACGGACGCCAGCGCGCATCTGCACGGGGAGCGCCGCCGGCCGGGGTCGCCCCAGCCGCCGCCGGCCGCCCCCACCGGCGCGCGCGCGCCCAGCCCCGCAGGCTCGCAGACGCGCTCCTGCGGCCCCCACGCCTTCGCCGCCGGCGCCCCGCATCCGGAAAGCGAGGTGAGCGCGACCGCACCCCGGTGCAGAGGGGAAACTGAGGCAGGGGGGCGGGGAGGAAGCGGGTGGATGGACGGACGGACAGTTGCTGCTGAGCGGGGGTCTCTGCCCCCCTAAGAGGCAGGGTCCGCGGGCCCTCTCGGGGCCCCGAGAATTCTGCAGCCCCCCTTGGAGGTCTGGGAGTTGGGGCCCTAGGACCCCCCATTCACAGCCGCCCGGGATTCTCAGCCATCGCCCCCTCCCAGCTTCGGCGGCCTAAGCCGAAGCGAATCCCCTGGGGATGCAGGTGTCGGCGCCCCCAGCCAGCCAGCACGCCCCCGGGAGCCCGGTCCCCGGCCTCGGCGTAGCGGTTCCCTGCACCCCCTGTTCCGGGAGCCCCTGGGATCGGGCGTCGGCGCCCCCGGCCCCCGCCTTCCGGAAGCAGGTGTCGCCCCCCAGTCCGCAGCACCGCGTCTCGGAGGCCGCTCTCGAGTCGCCATGGCAACGGGAGTCTATTTTGCGCTGGGAACACGCAGCTCCCGCCGCAGCGCCCCCGCCCCCACCGGGCGGAGCGAGAGGGGGCCGGGCAGGGGGCGGGGGTCCGCGCGGGGTGAGGGGAGACTCGGAGCGCTAGAGACCCGCAGGTGCAGGCTCGAGGCAGAGACTCGGGGTTGGGGGGGGCGGCGCGGAGAGACGAGGGAGAGACCGAGGCTCGGCCGCGCGGGGGCACGAACACGCGGCCAGGGCTCCGGGCAGGTGGCCTGGGGAGGCACGCGCCGGGCTGGCGGGGGCGCGGGGCACCGGGCTGGGTCCACCTCCCTCGCGCGTCCCCGCCTCTCCCCTGCCAGCCCGGGGCAGCGGCCTCCGCATCTCCACGTGCCGCCACCCCCGGGCCCGCCCCTTCCTCCTCCGCTCTCCACGCACCTGCCTTCGGCGTCCGCACCCCCCCTCCTCGCTGGCCCCAGAGGCTCCCGGGAGCCCCCTTTGCTTTTGGACCTCTCCCCTACTCGCTCTGCTCCCCAGCCCCACCCCCACCCCTGGCGGGACCCCAGGGACTGAGACTGGTTCTTGGTCTGTCTCTGTCTCCCTCCGTGGGCCCCTGCACCCCCTCTGAGTGTCCGTCTCCCACCACCACCATCACCACCGGTCTCCCCAGCCTGCTTGTGGGTGTCCAGCCCCTCCTGGGTTCCAGCCCCTCACTCTTGGCCTCGTATCTCCCCCCCTCCCTGTTCTCAGGGTCTCTGTCTCCCTCGCCCTGGGCCTCTGTTCTCAGTATCTGGCTCTCTCGGGGACTCTGAGCACCCCACATGCACCCCAGCACCCCACCTGCTGCCACTCTCTGCTAGCCTCCCCCAGGCCTGGCTCTGCCCCCAGCTGGCAGAGGTGGGGGTGGGAGTGCCAGAGCTGGGCAGGGCCCCCCACCCCGTGTGTCTCAGCGCTGAGCTGGGGTGGACAGGGCACACAGGGGTGGAGCCAGAAGTGGGCAGGGGCGTCCACGTGCAGCCGGGTGGCCGGCTCCCTGGCTGGGTCCTGAGCTTTGCCCGATCCCCGGGGGAGAGGTGCAGAGAGCCGTGGCTGTGTGCGTGCAGGTGGGAGGGGGAGCCGCAGGTGTGTCCTCGTAGGTGTGTCTGGGTGTCCCGCGTCTGGGCACAGCTCTTCGTGAGGCAAAGGAGCGGGTCCCATTACAGCCTCGAGAGTGGACAGGCCACTGTCCACGGCCTCTCGCCTATGACCAGGCTGTGTGTGGCTGTGCCGCTGGGCTTGGGGGCCCTGCCACGGCTCCTCGTCCCCACTGGGGCTGTCGGGTCTCCCAGGTGCATGCACAGCAGGGTCCTGTTGGCATGGAATTCGGAGTGCGTCCTGGCCCCGTCAGCTCCCCGCGGCTGTGGCCTGGCAGGTGCATGGCCCACACCTCGGGGAGGAGAGAGCCCAGCAGGACTCCAGCCCCCCAGACAGACCCCCTTGTGCAGTGCAGAACCTGCGCGGCTGTACATGGCAGCCACGACAAATGAAGGAATCCGAATTAGAAAGGGTGTTGCTGTGGGGGGCATCTCACCGAGCTCCCTGTGGGCGGGGCCATCCGCGTTCACGTAGCAGCGCCTGGAGGCACCTGGGCAAAGCCCAGTCCAACTCCTTGGGCACCGTGGGGCTCAGGCAAACCATGGAGCGAGAGGCAGAAAAACCCACCGCCACCCTCCTTTCAGCACGCACCCATGCAACAAGCACTTATTGAGCACCTACTGTGTGCCCAGCACTGCAGCTCCACCGGGAACAGCACTGACAGAAACACCTCCACCAGGAGGGCAGGACACACGACGTGGCCACACACACGCACTCCTGCCCACAATGGCCAGGCCCAGGCCAGCCAGGAGCCGGGAGCTCCTTCCGGTCTCCGGTGTGAGTGGCAGGGACCTGAGTACTTGAGCCACCACCGAGTCAGGGGCTGGACCCCAGGCTGGGAGCCCCAGGCAGCGTCCATCAGCTGGCTGCTTCAATATCATTGACTCAATGTGTCTATTTGGGAGACAGAGGTCCGCTGGTTCACGCCACCAATGCCTGCAGCGGTCAGAGCTGCCCTGGGCCAGAGCTTCGCCGCGTCGGTACTTTCACCATGTAGAACCACCGCCCCGCCACGCAGTTCCAGCATTCTCACCACCCCCCAAAAGGAAGCTCCAAGCCCCGAGCAGCAGCCCCCATGTGTCCTCCCCCAGCTCCAGGCCACCGCCAGTGGCTTCCTGCCTCCGTGGCTGGCTGGCGTGGACCTCCGGGCAGCCCTCAGGGATCCTGCAGAAGGGACAGTGGGGCCTGGGGCAGCGGCCACTCCAGAGCCAGCCCGGAGTCACTGAGCTGTGGCCCCTCTCCCAGGGCTGCCGGCGCGGCTGTGTCCACTGGGGGGCGCGGCAAGAGACGTCTGGGCCGATGGTTGCTATAGAAACAGCGGGACGCTCCGCCGGGTCTGCCCTCTGCACTTGTCAGGATCAAAAGGCAGCCAGCACCGCCCAGGAGCGTTTCCAAGCCCCCTCCCCAACACGGCGGTGCCCCACCCCGGGCACTGCTTATGCATGGTCACTCAGCCTCCCCCCACTGACAGATGGGGAGACTGAGGCAAGGGGGGGTGGCTCGGGGAGATCCGCGCGTGGAGACTCGGGAGACCTGGCTGTGAGAGGGGGTCGTGTGTGAGAGGCCGAGAACGGGGACCCTCCAACCCCCAACTCTAGAGAGGGGCGGGGACTGAGGACCGCAGGGGTGGAAGCCAGCAGGCGAGGGGCGGCGTGTCACAACAGGGTCAGTGTGAGAGCTCCTGCATCCCGTGGGCGCTGCCCAGCGCCCGGTTGCCCCCACCCCACCCCTGGAGCACCCCCACAGCACGGCCAGACCCGGTCCCAGCCCGGCAGGTGTAGACTCCGGCTCTCAACTTGGATCTCTCTCTCTCTCTCCCTCTCTCTCTCTCCTCCCCGTCTCCCCGACCGCCCCCCACCCCCGCCTGCCTTCCTTCCCGCCCTCGGATCCCGCTCGTCTCTCACGCCTCCCCTGCTCCGTGTCCTCGCCAACTCTTGTGCGCCCTGGACGACTGCGGCGCCCTCCGACGCTGCCCCCTCGGCCCATCGCTCGCCTTGCTGCCTGCCCCGGCTCCCATGGCCACGTCGCTCCCCCAGCCTGGCGGCCCCGTCCGGCGGCCTCCTGCACGCGCCATGCCGGCCCTGCTGCTCCTCGGGACCCTGGCGCTCCTGGCCTCCGCCGCCGGCCAGGCCGGGGCGCGCCCGTCCAACGGCACCAGCCCCGCCCCGCCGGGCCCGCTGCCCGCGCTGCTGGCGCACCTGCGACGCCTGACCGGTGCGCTGACGGGCGGCGGGGCCGCGGCGGGCGCCAACGGCACGAGGAGCAGCCCCGCGGGCGGCCCGGGCGCGGCGGCCCGGGCGCCCCCTCCGGCCGAGCTGTGCCACGGCTACTACGACGTCATGGGCCAGTACGACGCCACCTTCAACTGCAGCACCGGCTCCTACCGCTTCTGCTGCGGCACCTGCCACTACCGCTTCTGCTGCGAGCACCGCCACATGCGGCTGGCGCAGGCCTCCTGCTCCAACTACGACACGCCGCGCTGGGCCACCACGCCGCCGCCGCTGGCCGGGGGCGCGGGCGGCGCCGGCGGCGCGGGCGGGGGGCCGGGGCCCGGCCAGGCCGGCTGGCTGGAAGGGGGCCGCACGGGGGGCGCGGGCGTGCGCGGGGGCGAGGGCCCCGGCGGCAGCACGGCCTACGTGGTGTGCGGGGTCATCAGCTTCGCCCTGGCCGTGGGCGTCGGCGCCAAAGTGGCCTTCAGCAAGGCGTCGCGTGCGCCCAGGGCGCACCGGGAGCTCAACGTGCCCAGGTGCGTGTGCCTTTCTTGCGTGGGGCCCGCGGCCGTCCGGGGAGGGCGGGAGCGAAAGCCTGGAAGCGGGGCGGGGCCGTCACTCCTCCCGCAGCCGGCTCCCGAGCGCTTGCGGGACCGGGAGCGGGGCGGGCGGGCCAGTAGCCGTCGTGCGGGTCGTAACGCGGAGGAACCGCGTGGATTCTTGCAGAGTGCTCGCCCAGTGCTCACAAAATGTTAGCGGCGGAGTCACGAAGCAGACAAACAGGTACGGGTGCGGGGAGGAAGAGGCGGGCGGGCGGCAGCCGGGGGCTGCGGGAACGGCCGGCGCGCGCGGGGGCCCTGAGGCGGCAGTTTGCGGGCAGGGCCGGGTTTCCCAGCTCGGCGGGGAGCTGGGAGACGCGAGGCCAGTGAGGGGGCTGAGGTGACCCCGGTGCCTGCGCGCAAAGTGACGGGAACCGGGTCGCAGGGCCAGGGCGAGCCGGGCCGCCGTGACCCGCAGAGAGGCGCCCCGTGCCGAAAGTGAGCCCCGACACTGCGAGAGGGGCGTGGCCACCGCAGCCAGCGGACCTGAGGGCCGGAGTCGCCCCCAAGGCAGAGACCCGGGACAGACGGGGCCGCTGACCGCCCCTCTGCCCTCTCCAGGGCTCTGGTGGACATCCTGCGGCACCAGGCGGGGCCCGGGGCCCGCCCGGATCGGGCCCGAAGCAGCTCCCTGACCCCGGGAATCGGGGTTCCCGACAGCATGCCCCCCAGGACGCCCAAGAACCTCTACAACACCGTGAAGCCCTCCAACCTCGGTGAGTGGGGCGCGGCGGCCACGCCCCTCGCCGTGAGGCCCCGCCCACCCACGGATGGCCCCGCCCCCTCCGTGCTGTGTCCACGCACGGCCAGGACCTGTTCTGGGCGGCGGGGGAGGGGACAGGAGTTCCGAGTTGAGTGAGGCCCCCCTCCCTGCCCTCTAGCGGACCCCTGGGCGGGCGCCGCGCGTACCTGGGGCGCAGCCGTACAGCAGCCCTGGGGCAGGTGGGCAAGGCCTTCTCTGCTTGGGGGCCGAGGTGGGCATCCCTGGGAAGGGGAGCTTGAGCAGAAGCCCGGGGGGCATTCCTGGGGCTGGGGGCGGGGAGGAAGGATCCTGAGAGGGGCGGTGGAGAGCCAGGGTGGGGTCTGCAGCCGGGGAGCAGCATGGTCAGAGGCAGGTGGAGGAGCCGGCTCTGACAGCCCAGCGCTGAGAGAGGCTCAGAGGCCGCTGGGGGCGGGCCCTGGGCGGGTCAGGGGTGGAGGGAGAAGCTGACTGTCCGTGGGGGTGAGGGACAGCATAAACGCCTGTGCAAAGGCCCTGTGGCCACGCTCGGCCCCGGGGAGGGACGAGATGTGGTCGTCTCCCGGCCTGACTCCATCCCGTGGGTGACGGCGACCCAGGGGAGGAGGCGACGGCTACTGGGGTGCGGCTGATTGTGGGACAGGCTGTCAGGACGGCCAGAGTCTGGATCCCTGACCCTGGAGGGGGAGCCCGGCCAGGGCAGAGACCCGGGGTCAGGAGGGGAAGGGCCTTGTAGACGCGTGTGGAGAGGGAGACCCCAGTGTCCGGCCTGGGGCGTGGGGTGCATCGTGGGGGCTGTGGGGCGCGCCCCTATCTCGCATGAGCCATTCCTTGGAGGCCCAGCCTCAGTACGTGGGGACCAGGGCCCTTCCGAGAGGCCGGGGCGGCCGCGTGACGCCCCCTCCCTTCTCGGTCCCCCAGGTAACCCGCACAGCTAGCTGCACCTCAGCGTCAGCGGCCCCACGCACCACGCCGCCACGCTGGGTACGGGCAGGGAGCGAGGCTCCTTCCCCGCTCTCCACCCGCGTTCCGGCCGCCCCGGCCAGGTGCCGGGGCCGGCAAGACGGCCTCGGGGTCCCCAGGCTGGGGCGGATGCACGGCCAGGCGCTGGTGCTGCCGATGCCAGTGCCCCGTCCTGGGACGCAGCCTTGCGGGAGGGAGACAGAGCGCTCCGGGCCACTCGCCCCAGAGCCCGCAGCCGCTGGGGTCTGCACCGGCAGGAAGCTGCAGTGGGAGCAGCCCAGCCTCGCACCCACCAGGGAAACACCTGCCCCCTGCTGGAGTCCGCAGGGACTGCAAGGCCGCGTTCTAGCACCCCGGGTCTGAGGGAGGAGGGCTGGGGGCCGCTGGGTCTGAGGGAGGAGGTGGGGCCTGCACTCCTGGGTCTGGGGGAGGAGGGCTGGGCCTGCACCACTGGGTCTGAGGGAGGAGGGGCTGGGGCCTGGACTCCTGGGTCTGAGGGAAGAGGGGCTGGGGCTGCACCCCTGGGTCTGAGGGAGGAGGGACTGGGGCTGCATTTCTGAGTCTGAGGGAGGAGGTGAGGCCTTGACCACTGGGTCTGAGGGAGGAGGGGCTGGGATATGGGCCCTGGGTCTGAGGAAGGAGGTAGGGCCTGCACTTCTGGATCTGAGAGAGGAGGTGGGGTCTGATTCCTGGGTCTGAGGGAGGAGGTGGGGTCTGACTCCTGGGTCTGAGGGAGGAGGTGGGGTCTGACTCCTGGGTCTGAGGGAGGAAGTGGGGCCTGGACCCCTGGGTCTGAGGGAGGAGGTGGGGTCTGACTCCTGGGTCTGAAGGAGGAAGTGGGGCCTGCACTCCTGGGTCTGAGAGAGGAGGTGGGGTCTGACTCCTGGGTCTGAGGGAGGAGGTGGGGTCTGACTCCTGGGTCTGAGGGAGGAAGTGGGGCCTGGACCCCTGGGTCTGAGGGAGGAGGTGGGGTCTGACTCCTGGGTCTGAAGGAGGAAGTGGGGCCTGCACTCCTGGGTCTGAGAGAGGAGGTGGGGTCTGACTCCTGGGTCTGAGGGAGGAGGTGGGGTCTGACCCCTGGGTCTGAGGGAGGAGGTGGAGTCTGACTCCTGGGTCTGAGGGAGGAAGTGGGGCCTGGACCCCTGGGTCTGAGAGAGGAGGTGGGGTCTGACTCCTGGGTCTGAGGGAGGAGGTGGGGTCTGACTCCTGGTCTGAGGGAGGAGGTGGGGTCTGACTCCTGGTCTGAGAGAGGAGGTGGGGCCTGCACTCCTGGGTCTGAGGGAGGAGGTGGGCCTGGACCCCTGGGTCTGAGGGAGGAGGGGCTGGGGCATGGACCCTGGGTCTGAGGGAGGAGGTGGGGTCTGACCCCTGGGTCTGAGGGAGGAGGTGGGGTCTGACCCCTGGGTCTGAGGGAGGAGGTGGGGTCTGACTCCTGGGTCTGAGGGAGGAGGTGGGGTCTGACTCCTGGGTCTGAGGGAGGAGGTGGGGTCTGACCCCTGGGTCTGAGGGAGGAGGTGGGGTCTGACTCCTGGGTCTGAGGGAGGAGTTGGGGCCTGCACCACTGGGTCTGAGGGAGGAGGTGGGGTCTGACTCCTGGGTCTGAGGGAGGAGGTGGGGTCTGACTCCTGGGTCTGAGGGAGGAGGTGGGGTCTGACTCCTGGGTCCGAGGGAGGCGGGCGGGGGGCCAGGTGGCTGGTGTGCAGTGGGGGCGGGGCTGACCCGTGTGCCCCCACAGACTGGCGGGCCGTGCCTCCGCCCAGCCCCTCTTTGCACTATTCCACGCTGTCCTGCTCCCGCTCCTTCCACAACCTGTCGCACCTGCCCCCGTCCTACGAGGCGGCCGTGAAGTCGGAGCTGAGCCGCTACTCCTCGCTCAAGAGGCTGGGTGAGTCCCTGGAGCACGGCGGGGGTGGGGGTGGGGGGTCAGGACCGTGGACGGGGCCCCGGAGCCCGCCGAAGGCCTAGATTCTCGCTGGGGTTTTTCTCAGAATCACCTGGGGGCATTTTTTAAATGCCAAGTTCCTGGTTCTGCCTCTTTAAGACATGCATCAGCACTTGACCTTGGCAGTTAATAGAAACAGAATATTTTTTTTTTTTTTTGGAAAGGCAGAGTGGACAGTGAGAGAGAGAGACAGAGAGAAAGGTCTTCCTTTGCCGTTGGTTCACCCTCCAATGGCCGCCACAGCTGGTGCGCTGTGGCCGGTGCGCTGCAGTGATCCGATGGCAGGAGCCAGGTGCTTCTCCTGGTCTCCCATGGGGTGCAGGGCCCAAGCACTTGGGCCATCCTCCACTGCACTCCTGGGCCACAGCAGAGAGCTGGCCTGGAAGAGGGGCAACCGGGACAGAATCCGGTGCCCCGACCAGGACTAGAACCCGGTGTGCCTGCGCCGCAGGCGGAGGATTAGCCTAGTGAGCCATGGCACTGGCCTAGAAACAGAATTTAAGGTGTAGAGAGAGAGAGAGGCGTGGTGTCTCCAGGCCCTCGGATGCTCTCGGTCTCAGCTCTGCCAGCTGCCCTGGGCACATCCCGGCTCACTTGGTGATCCCAGCACACGCCCCACACCCGGGTCCCCCGGGCCCGTCCCTCACCTAACCCCTGCGACCCAGCCCGAGGCCCAGCCGTGGCTGTGGAGGACTTCAGAGCTGGACCAAGCGATGCTTTTGCCATCACGACCCAGGAGACGCACTTTTTCACACCTTTCAGTTTATCTTCATCGCGTCTGAAGGGCAGAAGAGAGGGCTGGCCGTGTGGCACACCTGCAGCACCAGCATCCCATATGGGCGCCGGTTCAAGTCCCGGCTGCTCCACTTCCCATCCAGCTCCCTGCTAGTGTGCCTGGGGACACAGCAGAACATGGTCCAAGTCCTTGGGCCTCTGCACCCACATTGGAGACCCAGAGGAAGCTCCTGGCTCCTGGCTTCGGATCAGCCCAGCTCTGGCCATTAAGGCCATTTGGGGAGTGAGCCAGGGGGTGGAAGACCTCTCTCTCTTGTCTCTATCTCCCTCTGTAATTCAAATAAAATGAGTAAATATTGAGAGAGGGAGAGAGAGAGAGAGAGAGAGAGAGAGAGAGAGAGAGAGAAATCTGCCTTGCACTGGCTCACTCCCCGAATGCCTGCAGCAGCCAGAGCTGGGCCAGGCCAAACCCAGGAGTCTGGAACTCAGTCCGGGTGCCCGTATGGGCGGCGCAGACCCAAGCACTGGAGGCCTGCCTGCCACCTCGCAGGGCGCACACCGGCAGGAAGCTGGGCCAGCAGTGGAGCTGGGGCTGGAACCCAGGCCCTGGGAGCGGGATGTGGCGTGGACCCCAGGGGCAGCCCCCTCCACACGGGCACACCCCGTGCCCCGCCCCCTCCACCCTGTCCTCGGGTGCTGTGGAGTGGAGAACCCTGTAGGGGCACACCCCGTGCCCCGCCCCCTCCGCCCCCTCGGGTGCTGTGGCCTGGAGAACCCTGTAGGGGCACACCCTGGGCCCCGCCCCCTCCACCCTGTCCTCGGGTGCTGTGGAGTGGAGAAGCCCGCAGGGGCAGCCCCCCTGCACGGGCACACCCCGTGCCCCCGCCCCCACCCCGCCCCGTCCTCGGGTGCTGTGGCCTGGAGAACCCCGCAGGGACAGCCCCTCTGGCCCGGGCACACCCCGTGCCCCGCCCCCTCCGCCCCGTCCTCGGGTGCTAAAAGGAACCGCGGCGTTTCAGCCACACACACGCCCCACCCGAAAGCCCCAGCAGCGGCCGGCTCCCTGCTGCTCCCCGCCATTCCCAGCGCTGACAGAGCTCACTTCACAGCCGACCTGGGGGTCGCAGCACCAAGTCTGCCCGAGGGAAGGGCGGGGGCGGGGGTCCCCAGAGCAGATAGCTGGGGTCTACTCCCCCAAAGAAGGGTCGCTCAGAGGCAACAACGAGGAGCCCCCCGCCCCCAGCGTTGAGCGCAGCGCCTGGGACTCTGCATTTTGGCCGCGTAGCCCGCCTGCTGGCTCTGACTGCAATTCAGCGTCCACGGGAGGGCGAGCGGGCCCGGGTGCAGCGGCCGGGCGGCCGGGCACCCACCTCTCTGGCCTTCTGCCGTCCCCCGCAGCCGAGAAGGACCTGGACGAGGCTTACCTGAAGCGCCGGCACTTGGCGGAGGCGCCCCGCGGGACGCTGCCGCTGCACGCCCTTCGACGGCCCGGCACCGGGGGCGGCTACCGCACGGACGGCTGGGGCGGCCCCGAGGAGCTGGGCCTGGCGCCCGCGCCCAACCCGCGGCGCGTCATGTCCCAGGAGCACCTGCTGGGCGACGGCCGCGGCTCGCGCTACGAGTTCACGCTGCCGCGCGCGCGCCTCGTGTCGCAGGAGCACCTGCTCCTGTCCTCGCCGGAGGCCCTGCGCCAGAGCCGCGAGCACCTGCTGTCGCCCCCGCGCAGCCCCGCGCTGCCCCCCGAGCCCACCGCCCGCGCCAGCCTGGCCGCCTCGCACTCCAACCTGCTCCTGGGGCCCGGGGGGCCCCCCACGCCGCTGCACGGGCTGCCGCCGCCGGGCCTGCACGCCCACCACCACCACGCGCTGCACGGCTCGCCGCAGCCGGCCTGGATGGCGGACGCCGGCGGGGGCGGGGGCACGCTGGCCCGCAGGCCGCCTTTCCAGCGCCAGGGCACCCTGGAGCAGCTGCAGTTCATCCCCGGCCACCACCTGCCCCAGCACCTGCGCACGGCCAGCAAGAACGAGGTGACGGTCTGAGGCCGGGCAGGGGCTGGGGGGCGGCAGCCCCTAGCCCCGGCCCCCGGACTCGGGCTCCCACAACCCAGGGCGCTGGGCCCCAGCCAGGCCCTCCCTGAACCCGGCGGGCGAGGCCCCTCCCCCATTACATCACTGAACCAAGGCCGTTCCCGGTGATGTCATCACGGGAGGACCCGCCCATGTTGTGTGACATCACTGCAGAGACCACCTTCCCGTGGTGTCACAGCAGAGACAAGCCCTGCCCCGGTGACGTCATCCTTGTCATCAAGGGAAAATCTTTTCTTCTGTGTCCTGTGACGTCACTGCTACAGACAAAGCCATTTTCCTGGGACAGATCGCGGGAGGAGACGCCTCCTTCCCACACCGTCGCTCCTGCGAGGCCGTCACCAGAGAAGGTGCCTTGCCCTGTGACGTCATCGGATGCACCGAGCCTCCTCCTGGGATGTCATCACTCCTTAGACGTCGGGAGGAGGCCCCTTCCAGACACCACGGGCTCCGAGCCCCGTGCCCTGGCGCTGTCGCCGTCAGGCCTGAGGAAGTGCCCGGTGCCCAACGCCCTCGGAGGGCTCGGTCCGAGTGGTGGTCTGCCTGGAGGTTACTGGTGGCAGGGCTGCGACGCCACCCCCGGGGCAGAGTCTGTGACAGCCAGGCCCCCTGGGCCTCAGGCGCTGCTCTGTGCAATGACGGGGGGCGGGGGGGGGTGGCTCTGCTGCCGTGGGGCTCCTGGGTCCCGGGACTCCGCAGTGACAAACTGGGGTCCCCTCTTCCTGCCAGAGACGCCGCCGCTCCATCAGCAAGGCCCCGGCCTCGGCAGGGCAGGGTGGGGTGTGCCTGCTGTTGGCCCCACCCATGTCATGGCCGGGCCGCTCAGTGTCTCGCTCGTCGTGGCCTAGCGCCTGCGGTCAAGTGCCAACCACGTCCCTACCCAGAATTCCTGTGACCCACAACTGCGGCGGCTTCCTCTTCCAGGGCTTACCATCGACCCCCAGGATTTCCCACGGCCAAGGACGTCACCGCCTCCCCTGATTCCCCTCAGCCACCGTGTCATCATCACCCAGAATGCACCACAGCTGGTGCTGTCAAGATTTCCCACAGCCAAGGACGTCACCGCCTCCCCTGATTCCCCTCAGCCACCGTGTCACCATCACCCAGAATGCACCACAGCTGGTGCTGTCAAGATTTCCCACAGCAACACGTCATTACTTCCCATGATTCCCCTCAGCCACCGTGTCATCACCATCACCCAGAATGCACCACAGCTGGTGCTGTCATCGTCTCGTAGACGGTGCCTTGACCAGTGATGCCATTCCCCAGAGCCCTCTACACCTGTGGGGGTGTTCTCTGCTAGGCCCCAGGAGGACAGATGACACCACCGTTTCCCATAATCCCCCATATTCATGGCGTCCTCACCTCCCAGGATCCTCTGTAATCATGTGTTTTGATGTCCCAGGATGCACCTCAGCCATGGGGTTATCATCGTCCAGGATTCAGTCCCTGAGAGCCAGTGACATCATCACCCCCAGGACACATGAACCCTGCCATCGACATCATCTCTAGGGACCCATGAGAGTCAATGGTGTCATCACCTCCCAGAATCCACCTCAACCATCGGTGTAACACTGGGCTGTCTTCACACCCAAGGACCCAGAACACCTGCCATCGACATCATCTCCAGAGATCCATGATAGCCATGGTGCCATCACCTCCCAGAATCCACACCAACCATTGCTGTCTTCACGACCCAGGACTCATGGAAACCATCAGTGTCACACAGCTGTGTTCACACCCAGAATCCACCCTCCATCAGTGTCACACTGGGCTGTGTTCACACCCAGAATCCACCCTACCATCAGCATCATACTGAGCTGTCTATACAACCAGACTCCACCCCACCATCAGTGTCACACAGCTGTCTTCACACCCAGAATCCACTCCATCAGTGTCACACAGCTGTGTTCACACCCAGAATCCACCCCAACCATTAGTGTCACACTGAGCTGTCTTCACACCCAGAATCAACCCACCATCAGTGTCACACTGGGCTGTGTTCACACCCAGAATCCACTCCATCAGTGTCACACTGGGCTGTGTTCACACCCAGAATCCACCCCACCATCAGCATCATACTGAGCTGTCTACACAACCAGACTCCACCCCACCATCAGTGTCACACTGGGCTGTCTTCACACCCAGAATCCACTCCATCAGTGTCACACTGGGCTGTCTTCACACCCAGAATCCACCCCACCATCAGTTTAACATGGCTGTGTTCACACCCAGAATCCACCCTCCATCAGTGTCACACTGAGCTGTGTTCACACCCAGAATCCACCCCACCATCAGTGTCACACTGGGCTGTCTTCACACCCAGAATCCACCCCACCATCATTGTCACACAGCTGTGTTCACACCCAGAATCCACTCCATCAGTGTCACACTGGGCTGTCTTCACACCCAGAATCCACCCCAACCACCAGTGTCACACAGCTGTGTTCACACCCAGAATCCACCCTCCATCAGTGTCACACTGGGCTGTGTTCACACCCAGAATCCACCCTCCATCAGTGTCACACAGGGCTGTCTTCACACCCAGAATCCTCCCCACCATCAGTTTAACATGGCTGTGTTCACACCCAGAATCCACCCCAACCATCAGTGTCACACAGGGCTGTGTTCACACCCAGAATCCACCCTCCATCAGTGTCACACTGGGCTGTGTTCACACCCAGAATCCACCCCATCAGTGTCACACTGGGCTGTCTTCACACCCAGAATCCACCCTCCATCAGTGTCACACTGAGCTGTCTTCACACCCAGAATCCACCCTCCATCAGTGTCACACTGAGCTGTCTTCACACCCAGAATCCACCCCACCATCAGTGTCACACTGAGCTGTCTTCACACCCAGAATCCACCCTCCATCAGTGTCACACGGCCGTGTTCACACCCAGAATCCACCCCACCATCAGTGTCACATGGCTGTGTTCACACCCAGAATCCACCCCAACCATCAGTGTCACACAGCTGTGTTCACACCCAGAATCCACCCCATCAGTGTCACACTGGGCTGTGTTCACACCCAGAATCCACCCCAACCATCAGTGCCACACTGGGCTGTGTTCATACCCAGAATCCACCCCACCATCAGTGTCACACTGGGCTGTCTTCACACCCAGAATCCACCCCACGATCAGTGTCACACTGAGCTGTCTACACACCCAGAATCCACCCCAACCATCAGCGTCATACTGAGCTGTCTACACACCCAGAATCCACCCCAACCATCAGCGTCATACTGAGCTGTCTACACACCCGGAATCCATCCCACCATCAGTGTCACACTGGGCTGTGTTCACACCCAGAATCCACCCTCCATCAGTGTCACACGGCCGTGTTCACACCCAGAATCCACCCCACCATCAGTGTCACACAGCTGTCTTCACACCCAGACTCCACCCCAACCATCAGTGTCTCACTGGGCTGTCTTCATACCCAGAATCCACCCACCATCAGTGTCACATGGCTGTGTTCACACCCAGAATCCACCCACCATCAGTGTCACATGGCTGTGTTCACACCCAGAATCCACCCACCATCAGTGTCACATGGCTGTGTTCACACCCAGAATCTACCCACCATCAGTGTCACACTGAGCTGTCTTTATGTTCCAGGACCCATGAGCCCATGGTGTCCCCACCTGCTGAGACCCATGACTCCCTCATGTCTTCATAGCAGGATCCGCTGCCACCACGCGCCCTCAGCTCCTGGGACCGGCGTCAGGGCCGTGCATCTCACAGGCTGTGTCTGCACCATCCTCCGGGGCTGTGTGGCACTTACAGGCATTCCCTTCAGGGAACCAGCACACACCCCCACCCTGCCATTCCTGAGTGGACGGGGCAGGTCTAGCTGTACCCCTCTGATGACATCACTCCCACTCTGGCCCTTCTTGATGATGTCACTGCCTCTTCCTGACCTGGGTGGAGGCCCGGATGCTTGGACAGCCCCCCCCCCCACGGCTCCCTGAGGACCTCCGGGCCCTTCCAGATACCACCACTGCCCCTCACCCAGCCGTCTGTTCGGTGACAGGGTCAACCCAGCAACCTCTCCTTGTCCCCAGAGCCCCACCCTGTGACCCCACGGCTCAGTGCTCACAGGCTCGGACCACCCCCCTCAGAGACCCTGGACCTGTGGGAGGGGTGGACAGCTGACAGCCCACTCGGAGCCTTCCTGTTGGCCTGGCCTGGCGCAGCGCCCGGAGAGCAGCGAGTGACCCGGCCAGTGCCTGGAGGCTCGGGGTGCTGCCTCACCTCTCCCTGACGCCGCAGGGCCCCCATCACCCAGCGCACCCTCTGTACATAGCCATGCTCCAGGGCGGCCACTCCCCCACTCTCAAAGGGCTACACGCCCCCCTCCCCAGCCCCTTGGGCAAGGTGGGGGGCCTTTTCTTCCTCTCCTGGGCCGCCCGCCCCCATCCCATCTTTCCCCAGTTACTGGCACTGTGGCTCATCTTGTCCTGTTGGGAGCCTCGGGGCCCCACCACACTGAGGACCTGGGGTGCTCGCTCTGGCCTCCGGGGACCTGGGGGCCAGCCCCTGGGGGGCATTCAGGCACATGTGACCTCCCTGCCCCAGAGGAGCCAGGAGACTTGACCACGCCCAGGCCCTCGCCTGCTCAGCACCCCACCGTGCACCCGGCTTTCTCCAGCCCCGGGATTTGGGGGTCTGGGCCTTTTGGCTTTTGTATGCCCCACACCTTGCTCTCTGCGGCCTGGGCCCCAGGTATCCCGCCTCCCAGCCCCAGCCCTCATTGGCTCAGCACAGGCAGCCCGACCCAGGGCCAGGACCCCTTATCTCAAATAAGCCATAGCGCAGAGAGGTCTGGGGGGGTGGAGCCTGCCCATCCCCCCTCGACGCTTCCCGAGCTGGACCTCGCCATTGAGTCTCCCTGGTCCCCAACAGACAACACCCAAGCACACACGTGCAGGCGCGCACACACACACACACGCGAGCCCCACTGCACCTCCCTCTGACGTGGAGCCCGTGGGGGTGGGGTCGCAGAGGGGGGAAGGCAAACCGTTCAGGACCCCTCGGCAGCTCCCGCCCCCTCTCCCCGCTCCTCTCTCCAACACTGGCCCCGGTGAGGACAGAGGGAGCCGCTGCTACCTGGCACTTTCTTTCCTTTTTTTTTTTTTTTGGAATAAACGGACACTTTCCTGACCCACGGCCTCCAGGCTCACTGCAGGCAGGTCTGGGTGGGTGCGCGGGGCCCAGTCCACAGTTCGCCCCCAGGGCTGTCCGTCCGCTGCCCAGCAACAGGGGGTGGGCTGTGCTGGGCATGTCCGTTCCGGGTCTGCTGTTGCTTGCAGATTCCAGAGGGCGCCTCCCCTGACGGGCTTCGGATGCTTTGGCCGGGCGTCATCAGCGCTCCCGCAGGGAGACCTGTCTGGGGCTTCTGGGGACTGGAGGTCTGGCTGGGGCGGGCGAGGCCACTCCCCGTGTCTGCACATCCTCTTCCCTCCGTGCCCCATCGTTCCCTGTGCTGCAGACACTGTCCATGCTGGACCGGGGTCCTCCCCATGACATCATTCACCCAAGCTGCTCCTCTCACCGATCCTGCTTCCAAATACGGTCACAGCCGCGGGTCCTGGGGGGCCAGCACTTCCGTGTCTTTTTAATTTTATTCATTTATCTTAGAGGGAGAGACAGACAGGCAGGCAGACAGACAACCTCCCATCCACTGATTCACTCCCCAGATGCCCGCAAGAGCGGGAAGGGGCAGGCTGAAGCCCGGAGCTGGGAACTCAGTGCAGGCCCCCACCTGGTACAGGACCCCCGTGCTTGGGTCAGCGTCCGCCGCCTTGCAGGCTGTGCAGTAGCCAGAGCTGGGGCTGGAAGTGCAGCTGAGACTTGAACCCAGGCGCTGCACATCAGGATGCGCAGGTCCCACGCAGTGTCAGCCTTGCAGGCACCGTCCCCGCCCCCACACCGGCCGCCGGCTTCGCGGCCCTTCCGCGAGCTGACCACCAGGGTGCGCCCGAGCGCTGCTTTGCGCACCACTCAGGGGTGGACGCCCGGGAAGACCAGGGCAGTGACTGCCCGCCTGGACTGCGGCGCCCGGGGGCAGGGCTCGTGCGTTGCCCGCCGTGGTGCTCAGCGCTGCAGAGTGAGAGGCACAAACACGGGTCCTGCTCGGGAGCAGGTCCTCCACCCTCCCACGAAGCCCTCTGGCTCGGGGGTCCCTGGCAGCCACAGGGACGCCCCGGAAGCTTCTCAGAGGCCCCGCTGTTTGCACTGCTGTGCTTCCGTGGCACAAGTGCCCCGTGCAGACCCAGAGCTGCCCGCCGAGCAGGCTTCCCACATTCGGCTGCTCTGTCACCTAGATGCCACGCCAGGGCGGCCCGTCACCAACCACAAGGCTGTAGGGCAGAGGGGAGGAGCTGCCGGTGGGGCGCCCGAGTCGCCCAGCGTGGAGCAACCTCCAGGGCACGCGTGTGGTCCCCGCGGCTTCCCGGGCTGTGCTGCGTCAGGGCCCTCAGGTGCATCCTCACTCGGCCAGGCCCTGCCGAGTGACTCAGCTGGGCAGGACGCCCACGTCCTGGGGCCTCCGCTCCCAACTGCTGCCATTGCTGGGAACTGAACTGTCTCCCCGGGGGTCTCCCTGGGGACCGGGGTGAAGCCACCGCCGGCACCGTCGGCATCCCATACTGGCACCGGTTTGTATCCTGACTGCTCCACTTCTGATCCAGCTCCCTGATAACACACCGGGGAAAGCAGCGGAAGATGGAGCAGGTGCTTGGGCCCCTGCACCTGCGTGGGAGACCCAGAAGAGGCTCCTGGCTCCTGGCTCCTGGCTTCAGCCCTGGCTGTTGTGGCCATTTGGGGAGCGAACCAGCAGGTGGAAGAGCGCGCGCTCTCTCTCTCTTGCTCTCTCTCTGATACTCTTCAAACACTCTCTGATACCTTTCAAACAAATATATATATATATATATATATATAGAGAGAGAGAGAGAGAGAGAGAGAGAGAGAGAGAGAGAGAGAGAGAATTACATTACGTCTCTCCACAATTCCTATGTGAAGTGCTAAGGCCTAACGTAACTGTTAAAGGAGGTGATCAAGCTTGGATTGGTCCCGAGTTGGGTGTTGATTTTGGAAAAGCATTTGAGAGAGAGACAGAGCGCTCCTCTCCACTGGCCCACTCCTCCGATGCCTGCAATGGCCAACGCCAGGAGCCATGAACTCCATCCAGGTCTCGCATGCAGGTGGCAGGCTCTCCAGGAAGCCCAGGTTCTCCAGCCAGAGCTGGCCGAGGCGCCCTTGGCCAGGGCCCCGGGAAGGCTGCCCCCCAGCAGTCAGGAGACACCGGGGATCCTGCCCTCCTCAACACTCACCTGCTGCTCTGAGCCTGGGCCAGCGGCCACGATGAGACGTGGGCACTGGCACCTACCATCCTCCCACTACCTTTGCAGGTGCTTTTCGGGAAGGTGGGGGGTCTCGGACTT